AAAGAGTGTTAAGAATGATCTGTTTAAAAAAAAAAAAAAATGTCTTTCACTACACTATGTCCTTTCTTTCAGTGAAAACTAAACCTTGTTTGGAAGGCTTATATCTAAAATAAAAGGGAAAAAAAAAAAGCTTTAAAGCACAAGGTAAATTGTTTCATTATCAAAGGCAGCACAATAAAAGATTGTCTAGAACAAAACAAGCTAGCAAAGAACTGCCCAGTCAACTAATATTCAATGTGTTGTCATCCTTGCAGACTCCTAAAGTAGGAGTAACAAAGTTCAGATCATCTTCACAGCCACTGAAGGAGAGACAGTCTCAAAGATGATCTTTTTTAAATTACAGAGATGCCACTTACTGGTTCCTGTGTGAATAAGCTTTACACTTCTGCCTCTTTGAAAGACTTCAAACATACAGTAAATCCTTCCCCAAAACATGACGCTTACTTCTCAGATTGACAGCAAGTATTTTTACAATTAGTTAGTTTTGAAATAAAAATTAGTAACCTGGGACTACAAATCCTATAACACTATTATGAATGTATATTGTTCCTGCAGGATTTCACTTTAGCGCCAAGTAAAGGGGATTTGGTCACCCAGATTCTTCTCTTCCATCTCCCATCCAGTGATCACGAATGAAAGCTTAGCACCTTAAGTCTGAATTTCACAGGTCTATGAGCTTGATTTTGTAGTAACAACAATGTCCTTTTAATATGATTTAGCTTATTATTGATATATACTTTTAAATATAACCCCCTGAAAGCATTCATTTGAATTGTGACAGGAATTGAGCCCTAAAGGCTTCTCTTTTCACAGCTTTAAAGCCATTCTTCATCCTGGTCAAATCCTGGACATCCTGGACTGGCTGAAAGAGAAGCCCATATGTCTTCCAGGGACAGCCGTGATCACTTTAACATCTCACAGTGACAGGTTTCTGTAGTGAATCAAGTCATTACTGACTATAAATCTGTATTTTCACAATAAGTATGAATATTTTCATGCCAGTTGACATCAAGACCTTCAATTTTAGCTACTTTATTTTCAATTCCTGCTTGACCATAAAAGACTGGAGTTAAACAACAGTCAGAAGTTTCCTTTATGGCAACAGAAGAACTATATAAACCAACATATTTCAGTTCGATTCAGAGTGCGTTTAACTACTTGATTTGTTGATGTTTTGTGTGAAAATTGCCTTCAGAATAATGCAATGGGTAGCCATGTAAAAAGAGCTAGTAAAATCAATTTACGCTTGTGAGACTACCCCAATCCTTTGGGAATCTGTTCTGAAAACGCTGTGGTGACCCCCAGGAGACTGACCACTGATTTCCAAAACATAATTTTACATGAATGGAGTACGCAGGTCTTTGATTCTCTAACCAAAGAATACCCTGTTACCCATGCTGGGGAAAAAGATTCATTATCAACTAATATTTGACTAAGTTAGACACTTAGGCATATAATAACAAGAAAACCACTGTGGCACAAAGTTTTTGTTATCAATCTAAAAGAATGTGAGGATCAGACCAGTGAGGTGATCTGTAAAGGTCCTATGATGATTAAGGTAACAGAATTGCTGAAAATTCAGACAGTACCTAGAGGTTCTCAAAGTCAGTGACACCAATTCAGTCTATTGGAGGAATAAGACTATGGAAACAATGGAGAAAGGAGATCAGAAGTTCATTAAAAAAAAAAAAAAAAACCACAAAAAAACCCAGGAGAACTTGGATTTGAGATCTTACTTCTCACCAGAGATTTTATTTTTTGTTATGCTCTATGTCATGAAGCTCAACAAGGCCAAGTGCAAAGTCCTGTACATGGGTCGGGGCAATCCCATGCACAAATAAAGGCTGGATGGAGAATGGATTTGAGAGCAGCCCTGAAGAAAGGACCTGGGAGTGTTGGTTGATGAGACGCTCAACATGAGCCAACAATGTGCACTCGCAACCCAGAAGGCCAACCGCATCCTGGGCTGCATCAAAAGAAGCATGGCCAGCAGGTTAAGGGAGTGTATTCTGCCCCTCTACTCCACTCTCGTGAGACCCCACCTGGAATATTGCGTCCAGCTCTGGAGCCCCCAAGATAAGAAGGTCATGGACCTGTTGGCGTGGGTCCAGAGGGCCACAAAGATGATCCGAGGGCTGGAGAACCTCTCCTATGAGGACAGGCTGAGACAGTTGGGGTTGTTCAGCCTGGAGAAGAGAAGACTCCCAGGAGACCTTATAGCAGCCTTCCAGTATCTGAAGGGGGCCTACAAGAAGGCTGGAGAGGGACTTTTTACAAAGGCATAAAGTGATAGGATGTGGGGGAATGGCTTCAGACTGGAAGAGGGGAGATTTAGATTAGATATTGGAAAAAAAAAAAAATCACTATGAGGATGGTGAGGCACGAGAACAAACTGCCTAGAGAAGTTGTGGAGGCCCCAACCCTGGAGGTGTTCAAGGCCAGGTTAGATGGGGCTTTGAGCAACTTGGTTTAATGGAAGGTGTCCCTGCCCATGGCAGGGGGATTGGAACTGGATGATCTTTAAGGTCCCTTCCAACCTAAACCATTCTATGATTTCTGCATTCTGCATTCAATCTCAGCTTCTTCAACTTTCTTTTTTTTTTTTTTTTTGAGTGGGAAGGGAAGCAAAGGACAATATGCCTAGAAATCACAACAGACAGGCAACATCATTAACTAAATATTCATGGTGTGGTATGCCTACCTTCACAAAGATAGTAGAGTTGCATTCCTGTAAAGCCTCCATTAAGCTAATCACATGCAGGCACACCATTTCCACCATCTTGAAAACAAACAAACAAAACAAAACAAATCAAGCATAAAAACAAATCAGTGTCCAGCGTAACAGTGCTGTAAGCTAAGCCAACAGGCTCTAAAAAGGATCTTGCTGTATTTGCTTGGCAGTTATACTGAATCACGAGATGTGCATTTATTAAGCACTGACATATAAGATTAAATATTACATGAGCACATAAGGGACATTTTTCTTTAGTTTTCCCCTGATGCGGCAACACCTATCTGTTAAATATTTCAAAATGCTTGATGTATTTTAATTCGTATCACACATCAAAACAAGTTGCCTTCAGCTTTGTTCTTTTAAGACATCATAAATCCTTCTACATGCCTTTGCTGTGTAGTTCTCATCAATCAGTGTGTCAGAAATTGATGTTTTTATTTACTGAATCTTTGAAAATTAACATACCCACAAAAAAACCCTTCTTTTTCTCCCATCAAAAGACAATTTATTGTTCTGAACTGGCAGCTAGTCCATAATTCTCCCATTTTGTACCATGAATTTTGACAGATGCAAATATCAGTTATTTGGTAGCAGACAGCGTTTTATGGTTTATATTGTGTAAATTCATAGGTGCAAGACAAATACCCTGAGCCAGCAGTGAGTATTTACAGTGCCTGTCTGAACTATGTGTAAATTCCCCTCGATAATAATAAACTTAGCTTTTATGTAGTGCTTTTCATCTTCAAAGCGCTTTACAAACACTAACTAATTAACCTCACAACACCCCTGTGAGATGGGCAAGTATTATCTATGTTTCACAGAGCAATAGCTGAGGCAGAGAGTTTAATGACTTGCACTAAAGCCACATAATGAGATACTTTCAGAATAAGGATTGGAACTTGGGACTTCCAGGTCATATTCTTGTCCTAAGGCTTGACAAGAAGACTTTATGTCTGACTAAACAACTGGCTAGTTAGAAGCATTTTCCACGTTTCCCTTTCGTTCAAATGGAGCTTTATGAACTACTGTTCCCAACAGTGGCTTGTCAGCCACAGAGACCTCACTAGATGTCAGAGGCCAAAATATCATTTAAAGACAGCTTTAGGTGGTCCTAGCCTGATATGGACAAGACACAGAGGAACAGTAACTGGTTCAAAAACACTCAAGCGCAGCCGCTGCAATTACAACTGCAAGGGCAAAGGTCCATACCTGCCTGGGGTAGAAGATGTTTCACATGGGGAAAGGGGAATTACATAAAATAATAGCAGGTCCCCCTTTTAAAAAAAAAACAAACAAACAAAGAATGAAAATCCCAAACCTTAAGAGCGCCTGACTTAGAGGACTGGGCTGCGTATAAATAGTCTTTCTCACTCATAGCTAGTGTCGGGTTCTTCAGACCCAGAGCTACTAGTTACCATCTCAGTTAAAGTTAAAAAGTTTGGATAAGTCAAGACAGACTTGTCATGACTTTCTGGTAATTGGGAAATACAATACATCTTGCCCGTTAGAAACCAGTTCTCAACCCTAAGCCTGCAGGCACCAAGAATCATTAGTCAATGGGAAGCAAAGGCAGCACCTATGGGAAGGCTGCTGGAACCCCTCTGGGTTCCTATTGTACAAAGCTGCTCCAACATCAATGAGCAGTTGAGATAAATAAATGCTTAAAAGGTATTTCCAAAAAAATGGTCTGGATGATTTCTGGACAGAGTGGACATTCCCCTTTCAAACCTTACCTCTAGAGATTCCTCCTTCGAGTCATTCATTACTCAAAATGTTTCCAGAGATATTTATGCACCTTTTTTTTGATGAGTAACCAATGGGTCTTAAGTAGTCAAGTATCAGCATTCGTGTATTTTTTCACCATCACGTGGTAAAAAAAAGATTCAAATGGTATTCACACAATTATCCTAAAACACTTAGTTGCCCCTGTAAGGCAGAATCAGACGAAACAATAGGACCAAGGCAGGAAGATGTATAAAATGAGACCTGATGCAGGGAGCCCATAATCCAACAAGCAGCAACTCTACCTCTTGATTCTCTTTCAGGCACATCCTGACTAGATCCTGTTTCAGGCCCACTGCGAGTTTAAACCACTACTAATTAGCTTTCCCTTTAATTTCTCAAAAGCATCAAAGTTGCTTCAGGACATTATTCATAGTCTGATGTATTTCACTGAAACAAAGCCAAGCCTTCTGAGTTTAGTCTCTCCTAAACCTGTACAAAGCACCTGACTCACCACTTTGTTATGTGCCATTAGCTGTAGGATGCTAGGTGTCACTCGGCTCCAGAACTCCAGGGCTGTAAGGATTGCTGTAAAGCTAAATTCGTTCTGATTCTGGACTGTCGGAGCTACTGCTGTTTGTTCACAGTACACTGTCCAGAGCTGAGCAAATATAAATGCATGGAAGAGGGAACACATGTGTAGAACAGATGTCTGTAGAAACAGATAATAGAGGAAAATGTTTATTCAGATAAGCGTATTGGGATACAGTGCAGAGGCTTTCATCAAAGCACTCCTCTGTCATGCACCCCACTGAGCAGTCTTGCCCCTCACTTTCCCACGTTTCCCTCCCATTAGGAACCAGTAAGTCGAGCACACTTGATAAAATCTTCTCCACGTTTAAAAACTGGTTTTATATTTACAGACTAAAAACTGCATTTGCAAACACACAGTCTCATGCAATCTTAGCGTATGGCATTACGGTCAGTGCCTTTAAAGAGCGGGTTAGTTTTGCAGAACAGCTACTCAGGACTAGTTCTGAGACCTCCTTGATGGGAAACTCCAGCACAATCTGTGGAAGGCCGGGAGGCTCTGGCATGTATGACTCCATTTAAGAAATGCTGCTGGGGTAAGTCATTCAGATTCTGATCATTTGAAAGAAAGGCTATCGTACAAAATACATCATCTTACATCTGTTCTGTTAACCTGTCATCCATTTCTACCTTGCTGGGACAGAACTGCTCCAAGTCAAGGAAAGTAAGTTTTGAAAAGCTGACAGAGAATTCATTTTTCATACTTAAGCAGGGCTCTTTGCTAATACGTGTTATAAATCACAGCGCCTGAGCCTCCAGGAGTGCTGGCCATGAACTACTTCATTGCGAGAAAGATGCATTTGGTCAGAGACGTCTTCTTGCAAGTGCAACAGTGATTCATGCTCTGTGGTAGTAAGACTGCACCAAACATTGCAATGGTTGCTTGGTAACTGGGAAGAGGTATTTGAAAGAGAGAAAAAAAACAACTAAAGAAATGAATGGGAGGCACCAGTTTCTTGGCCGGGTGAGGGGAAAGAAAGGGGGATTTTATGTGCAAGATAAATGTGTGATCATTCTGCTTCTGCTGCTAATAAAAACCTGGGTGGTGTTGAAGAGTGCTGCTATTTCTGTGTTAAACTACTGTCAGAAATGGCTTATGATTTGCAATAAACTCTTCTTGTCCAGAGCACCTTGAGGACAAAGAGTTATGCTTGAACCATCACTGCTTGTAATTAACTTTTGATCATAACATTATTTATAAGTTATCCAATTCTACTGTACAACTAGAATCAATAACTTTCTGAGAGATCTGCTACAGAGATGGTCACTGCTAAAGCTTCAATTTGGAATCCCGTTTTTCCTTCCTCAATCCTGTGCTGAGATATTTTGAAACAGTTGAATCTCAAACTTCATTGTAGTGATTTCACGAGTTTTCTATGCACAAAGAGGCAGCTATGCAAGACAAACTACTTTATTTCACTAGATCCAGGTTTTAATAAGGTTTTATCCCTCATTTTTAGTATGAAGAAATAAGTAACTGTTAGCAATAAGACCGACATATAACACATATTCACTTAAAACACAGAATCCCTTACCTTTGATTGCTCTGGAAACCCAATCAGAATAACAATAAGGTGGTCAGCAATTTGTGAACCCGCATCCAGTGGAATAGGCATGCAAGACGCTGGAGAATTTGGACAGACAACATTGTGTGTCAGAGACCCCAGAAGCAGCCAGGACAGCAAACGAATGTGTGAGACACATTCTATGAACTCTTTGGGCCTGTCAAGAAAGAGTGGATTTTACAATGATGCTAAGTTTTCTGTTTTCCCCAAAATATGGGGTCTCCCTATGCACACCAGGCAGATGCAGTCTCAGTGTGCTGGAGGCACAGATTGTTGGTACCACTTATGAGGAGACTAGAACTACACAGAACTTAGTGGACTTGATGTACTATTAACAAGTCCAACAGAACATATTTGGTGGGTCTAAGAAACAGTCTCTATAAAAGGCTAAAACACTCACAGATTCACTGGTTCCATACACAGTGATTTTTTTGCACGGAAGTCATCAGATGGGAAGGGTTGCCCAAGTGGAAGGTCTCCTCTCAGCTCCCCTGGACAGCACACGGCTGTCAGGGCGACGGTGGGAAATTCTTCATTCCCCAGCGAGCTCTGAGGCAGGCACCATGCCTTACTTCCACTGTGTTCCACCTCCCCAGCGGTAAAGTGGAGTTAATTTCTCTTTTCCTTAGCCTCTCCTTGGACATTTGGACTGCATGCTTTTGAGGGCAGGGGCTATGCTTTTTTGTGACACTTAAGTATTCGTCCACCATCTAGTGCAATGTCTAATTGTAAAGCAATGTGCTTATAGTACCTAAAAGGGGATAACACTTTTCTGGTGTCATCTTGTCTGTCCACTTGCTGCTACCAAGTTCAGATTACGTACTCATTTGAATTCATAGGCACAGGAAAAAAATAATTGTCTTTTGATCAATAAATCACTACTTACTAGGCCACTCTCACTACTGTTTTTAATTTCTAATTTGATGTCATTGTCAAGGACTCAGCACCAAAGAAGCATTCCATTAATTGTGGGGTTTTTTTCAGCAGACTCTGATATGAGGCTCTTCCTCAAGTACCTACAGGGTCTTAGAGGAATTCATTACCTTCAACTCAGAACACATAGTCCTTTTTTTACTTGTAAGAAACTAAAGTGCAAGGAGATAACAACTCCTTCTTTCCCAGACTAGATATGCTCTATATGAAAGTACACGCAGATGTATCTACATGGAGCCTAAGCAGGTTAGTCCCCAGAATCCTGAGGCAGGCAGTCTGGGACAAAGCTGGGACAAGAATACAGGTTTGTTGAAACACAGTCCAATCATCTACATTCAAAACATCTTGTTCGTTGTCACTGTAAGACAAGGAACAGTATCTCCCTTCTTTTTGAAAATAAAACACTGCAGATTAGGATTTCTCACAGTGAAAACGGATAAAAAAACCCATGTCTTGCAGACCAGATTTCTCTCATCTAACTTTAACCAGATGAAGTTAGTATTTTTATCATCATATCAATAGGCTCACACTTACAGTTCTTGCTCATTTGTACTCCATAATTTCAAAGAACAGTTCCCATTGTATTCTCTGTAATTCCCAATGTATTTTCTATAATTTGGGGACTAATCAAGTATCCGTGTGCTTTGTACTGTCTGTAACTAGATCAAGAATCAAGTTAATTTCCAGGGTAACTCCAGTCAAGCCAATGGAGTTACCTCCACTGTCCCTTCGGCATATACTTTAAACATTGCATTGATGAACCCCTACATTAAGGACCAGGGAGCTGCTGACCAGCTGTTTCAATGTCCCATGGGCACCATTCCCTACTGCAGATCTTATCTATGGAATCTAGCAATGAACACAGAATTTCGAGAAGACTTCTAAATCATTTTAGTATTCCTTTCTGTAGAAAAGCATTCTCACCCTTGTTGCATTGCAGAAGGAGGATGGTAAAGCCAAGGCAAATATCGGATCACAGCTTTGTTGTCTCTGTGGTTTCCCCGTGTGATTTCCATAGCAGCGATCTGAGCTAAACCAACTTTCAGGTGTCCACCAAACGTGTCTTCATGCAGTGGCTGAGAACAAGTCTTCATGTGACTCTGCAAGGCAAAGATCTGATTTCCTACCCAAAAAGAGTATTTCACTTGAACAAAGTTATTCCACGCAACAGCATATTCTGTTTCATTTCCTTTGAGTTCCTTTCTCAGGGTGTCTAACTGTGTATACAAAACTACAGAATAAACCTCAGAAATAGATTTTTAAAAATTCTCCAGTCCCTATATTAGTAACAGCTTGATGATGCTGATCTTTCCACAGAGGACAACATTCTCAAGAGCCCACACAAAATATGAAGCGTGCAAAAGGTATAGACACCTTTTGTATCAGCAAACTCAACAGCTGATGAATACAAGCTAGTGGTTGCACATCCAGACAGCGTAAGTGAAGATGAAAGAATCTAACCATTTAACAAGATAGCATCTGGGCGGGAAATGCCTTCCCTGTGCAATATGCCATCTACATGTACAGAAATAAGCTGTCACTCATTCACCGGCAATATGACTATGTTGTCCTATTCAGCTGCTACAAATGCCTTTAAGCCCTGGCAATAAAAGGGCTAAATCTTTTACCAAGAAACATGCAAGTTTTATGCCTGGAAAGATAATTTATTATCCTGCTTTGTCAGCTCTAAGGAATGTTTCATTGGTGCTTCTTGAGATACTTCTGTATTTCTAATTAAGCTAACTTTGCCTTACCTTCTGTTACTAGGCTAACAGAACACATGCTGAGTCTATTTGCCTTCTTCAAGGAGAGCCATATGCTTTGCACAAGAAAACCCATGTCATCAATTATTAAATTATTACAACAGGATAAAAATCAGAGGACCAATAATATTTAATAACAGATAAGTATCTGACCCCAGCAACTTACGCTCTCAAAAATCACTTACCTGAAGTCTCTTTCAAGAGAAAAAGAGTAACGTACCAGCATGAATATCTAATGATGGTAGGTAATGATGCCAGGTAAAAAGGATAGACAGGTATGCAGGCAGATGCATTATACCTCTTCAAAAATGGTGACATTTTCTAAATAAAACCTTGCTGAGCTTTACCAATTAAAATGTTACTCCAAAGGGAAAAAAAGATAATCAACTGATGAGAAACAATAAACTGGAATGTGATTATCTTGAGAATTAACACTTATACCTTTTTTATAATGCAATAATTGCTAATATGATGGATTGAAAATAATTAACCTCTTTCAAAGAAACTATTGTCAGACATGCAAAATAAGACATTGGAAATGAATAAACAACTTTATTTCTGTTCACTAAATTTCTGCAGAGAGTAGACATTTCAAAATTTGAAAACCAAAATTAAACTTTTGCTGTTGAGATTGTTACCGGTCATATAAATCATACAGTATTCTTTGTGTTAGTCTGGTAGTCCAGATGCTGTTGATATGATACTCATAATAAGTCTCTTATACTCTTGAGTATACTCTTACTATGATACTCATAGTAAGAAATTGTACAACTCGACAATCTTAGGACTCCCTTCCCAGGAACACCTCTGTTAATAAAACCCAAGCAACAGAAGTAAACACATTAAATGAGCTTACAAGAACGTGAATCTAGATGTTGTGAATTTGTTTAAAGTTCTGACTATTTTTAAACTTCGAAATGCTTAGAATTCTTTTCCCAGTTATGTTGGAACCACAGTTTATCTTGTCTAGTTAACTAAGAACTCCCTTTTCATTTTCCAAAGACAGACAAAGCTTATTCTTTACAGTACATAAAATGATGGTCATATTTGACTCTCCTATTACGTTAATCTTGTTCTCAGATTCCTGTATTACATGGCTAAATCAAAACAACATGAAATTTTAGACCATATGGTTCTGACTTAGTTTTAACTGGCCAGACCACGTGTTTGAAGATTCTTGTCTAATTTCAATATATAAAAGCGAAGAACTGGGTTAAGTTTTAGTTTGCATCCTACCTATATCTGTGCATAAAAATTTAAAAAATAAATAGTCCTACTGAACATAAGAAATTATCATCTTAGACTTAAGCATTGTAAAAGCATTTCTAAAAACCAGACTACAGTCCGAGGGGAAAGGGGCAGAAGGAAGAAGTGCCAATGGCAGAGAGCTTTCTACAGAAACATTTTACACAGGAGAGAGAATACCTGCAAGGATTTATAAATATATTTTCCCCGTTCCTGGTTTCAGGTAAGTTCATGTTTTTCTGTGGAACTGGGAAACCAGATGTCTCTCTCCCCCATTTATGATTCATTTGCCTACCTATTCTGAAAGCAGTTCTGAACTGTAAGAGAAATGGGTGAATAACTTTAAAGGATAAAGTGGGAAGGCAATCCAATTCAGCTGAAAATGATTAATTAGTTTGTGCTTTGAAGTAAATTTCTACTCCAGCACAAAAAGCTGCTTTCCCTTATTAGAGTATTTTTTTTAAAACTCAACGGGATTCAAGGCGTAAGGCCAACAGGGTAAGAACTTAACAAAAGGGATATTTTTCCAGTAAAACAAGGTTACTGCGAGTTTCAAGAGACGAGTTTCAGTTTAGTTGGGATTCTTCTTCCTTTGCGGTAAGTATTATTAACTTGCAATAAGGTGTGCCCTCTGGGGCATGGGGTGGGGTAGAGGGGACAGGGAGCGAGTGAGTGTGCACGGAACTAGTAGGGTAAAAATAGATCCTGGCTTCCCCCATGAAACAGAAATTCCAGGTTTTGACCAGCTAATCGTTACTAGGATGTTTTGATGAAATTCAATCCTAAATAAAATATTTTATGTTGACAGAAGTATTTTCCTATCATTCCTCTTACAATTTGGCATCAAACTAATGTACAGAACCCAAAAAGCAGTTTGGACCCCAGAGGTAAGAACTACTCAGTTGTTGGGGTTTTTTTTGGGTCAGATACTGCATTTTAATAACCTCTGAACTTCCAATTAACTTAAGTGTCTGTTTGAGTATATAAGAGACACAGGATTCCTCCAGAAAAGTGTAATTAGTTGTACAGGCAAGGAGGTTTGTTTCCATGGGTTATACTAAACACCACCACTTCTCATAGTGATTTTGGTATGACATTAGCTTATCATCAACATTTCAGAAAAACTTATCATTAGCTTATCATCAACGTTTCAGAAAAATCAAGCCTGAATTTTAATTGTGTGCTCACTGTATTTGAATGAGCCTCCATTTCAACGCTGCATAAGCTACTTTTTACTGATCCCCCACAAGTGTCTAACCTATAACAGTACTAACATTTTTTTTTTTAAAAAGAAAGATAAAAACCTGTCAGTCATCCTCAAAGACTTCCAAACGTTTCTCTCCCAGGCAGGTTCATTACAGAAAATGTATTTTTTAAAAAAAAGTACAGACACTTTAGACCAATGTATGCCCAGAACCAACCTTTAATTTGGTTAAGGTATGCATATCTGCAATGAAATCCAGCACTTCCCCAACATATTGCCGCATGCATTCCATCGCTGCTGTTCCACACTAGAACATAAAAGAAATAAGTTTAAGTACCAGGTTTTGAATATGTTCATATTTTTGTCTTTCTTTTTCACCAGAACACAATTTGTCTGTCTCAAATTCTTTATTTTTCTTTTTAGATTACTTTAATTTGGAATAGGTATTCTTTGATGTTTTTCTTCTCACTGTAATACACCCTCTTATCTGATGATGGTATAAAAAGATAGCTATAGCTTCTTCATGCATCATAAAATACTCTTATCTGTGGCAGCAATAAAAGATTAACTGATGAAACTTTCAAGAATATCCTTGTCATGTCATCCTGAAATTTACAGGGGTCCAGAATCAAAGTCTTAAAAAGTCAGTAAGAATTTAACAACCCAGTTCTTCAAGCACCTGAGCATTTCTGCAAGTGGAACCAATCAGCTACAAACCCAGAAAACAAAATTCAGTCACAGGCACCGATGCCCTTATGTTCACATTAATCACTATGGAAAAACAGTTTATATGACTGGCTTCAGGTATTTTATGTGTAAAAATCACCACAATTAATACCACTGATTAATACCACTGAAATTTAAGTGGGTTGGGTTTTTTTTCCTTTTTTTTTTTTTTTTTTTTTTTATAAGCTAAGAGATGTTTTAGGGATATTCTTGAAGCAAAATAATTCAAAATACAGCATTCTAATGGCACTTAAGCTAGTTGCAATTTTCAAAAGTGGAGGCAAGGACTATCAGGGATAAATGAAATCCCTCATGAACCGCTCCAGTGCGGCCATAAAGGTGTAGAGCATTGAGAAGCGACCTGTGCCCCAGTAAGAATGACCTCAAAGGGAAGACAAAAGGACTCACTGTGGGAATACAACAAGCACCACATTACAAATGTTCATAATCGTTTTCCCAGAACACAGTGAGAAATGAGAATCTGTCCTTTGGCTAGTACAAGGTGTGCCCAAGGTGCACAAAGCAGTCAACGGAACAAAGCTCTCAGATTAAACAAAGGCTTCGAACAGAGAAGAGAACCCGCAGAGAAGCTTTCAGGAGGTGATACGACTAACTCACTAGGTATCATATTAACTTCTGTTTACATGTTAATAGTCTGAGGTAAAGATGTCTGAACTCAAGGGGAACTATGAACGCCTCATTCTTAGGTGCCAGGTAAAAGCAATGATGAAATTACCAAATTAGGTATCTTTTTGAAGTCGCCAAAAACTACCGTATCCAAAGTCATAGCCCCAGGGCAAAAACTGCAGTAAAGTTTACAGGGGAAAACTACTCTTCTTTGACCTCTATTTAATTACCTACACTTTGAAGCGCTGAAGCTGATTACCCTATCTGAATATACAAATGAACCAGATTTAGTTTTGACCACAAAATTATCAAGCCATAATTGAGTTTTAGTGGCTCAAATTTGAAAAACCGCTAGCACTCTATTTTTAAGCAACTGACCTGGGTGCTTCTCCTTTTTGTGTGTTAATATCAATCTACACGGTGTTGAACTATGCCATCTTCCGGCTTTTCAAATGCTACGCCTGTCAGTTCCCTTGACAGAATAACAAACAGTAAAACAAGGTCACTGGCAGCCCTGTCAACATATCCTCCATCCAGCTTATGGGGACTAAGGATTCTACATGGGTTCTAAAATACTGAATAGAATTATAAAAGGTCCTATACTCAGACCTCTGAAAATAATGCAAAAGACTTCTCTCCGACCATCTATTCTGTCTCATTCAAGCAGCAGACAGCCTGATTCTCTGTGATTTCCTCTGCAATGATTGCTTTCCTACCGTACCCTTGTAACATCAATATTAGTCTATCTATTTAAAGCAAGTATAAATTAAAATATTCTGTTGGGAGGAAAGGTATTATTAAAGATTTGCATTCAAAAAAAAAAAAAAAAAAAATCACACACTTCAGAAGATATATGGGAAAGACCCCATTAGGTCACCCCTAAAGGTGACAAAGACACACATACAGGGAGACAAGTTCTCCTCAGGTCGCGAAGCAGACCTGGGCTAACACTCAACATCTGTTTGGGTACTCAGTCACAGGCATCATGGAACAAGTCAAGACCTCCAATTGTGCTACATCCTTGCATATTCACCAGGTGTATAGCACCTAGGCAATTATGAGCACCGGTAATTTAGCTACACCCATCAGCAAGATATATATGAACACTTTATACATTACCAGAAAAATACCATTAACTCCTTTCCTTAACTAGCTAATCTTTTGTGAGAACGGAGGCAATGCCTTCTACCTCTCCTCCCTGCTACCATTTTTTGAGGCATTCAGCTGGTCTGTTCCCCACACATTGTTTTCTTGACCTAAAGTCAGTTACATGACTAAAGATTATCAGTGAAAGTGAGAGAAGCAACATCAAGTTCAGAACTTTTTCCAACGTGAAAAAAAAGGACATATTTCAACCTCTGCCTGCAATGCACCTTACCAACCAGAAGAGAAATGAAAAGGGAAAAACATTAAAATGAAGCAAAATGAGCTGAATAAGATGTATTTTTAAAAAAAAACAAAACTAAGAGATGGAGTTTAATTCAGTACTTACTCCAGGCATAGAGGCAATCATCTGTTTGTGCAAGATTGTTGACTCAGCTAGTTTTGTTCCAGCATCTGCACAAACAAACTGAGAAGAAATTAAAGACAAGTTATTTTTTAATTATTTTTGGAGGAACCTGAAGACACTTATAAGTTATTCATGACTCTATTAAAATCAGTTCAGATCTCTTCTTGCTTTTATTCATGGTAATTTGCCTTTAGAGCACTTTCTTTATAAACAACCTAGTTAACTCACCATTATAAATGAGCTAATTTCAATGAAAAAAATCCGAGTTTAATGTGCTTAATTCACACATATATGCTATGCAGACGCAATCTGAAGAATATTATATAATAAATCAGACTTTCTTTATGAGCAAAAAAGATATATCTTTACTATTCCTTGAATGTATCAAATGTTCCCCTTTCCTCTTAGAATAAATCATGATAAGGCAGCATGCCATGTTCTTCACTGTGATATTACACCACTTTCACTGAAGTTCCACAGTGATGAATTATATGAACAGTTTTGAAGTTGAGAACATACTGGTATGGTGTGCTATAACTTCTGCATATTACAGGCCACAACACTACAAAAATATAAGCCATTTCTGAGAGAAGGTCAGTATCATTCTGTTATAGTAGAATACCTCCAGTTGTTTTCTTATGCTTTTATTTTCCTTGCCTTTTTTTTTTTTTTGGCTTCTTTTTATTTCCAAATCCCTTGACACAAACTCTCTGATGTCCACATCGTTCATACATTAGACCTGCTAATACTGTTACTTAATCATTGTAAGCTTCAATAATGCATTGGACACCCTGCAGATGATTTGCTTTTTCCTAAAACTTGTTGTCCTAATATTGTATTTGCACTTGAGCAATTTCTGTCCATAGCGATGCATTGCAATTTTCTACAAAAGAGCAGACAGAAAAGAGCTGTCAAACTGAAGGCTAAGCCTTAATTTTCTTTCTTGAAAATTAATAATGTGGTACCTTCACAAACTGAGGCAGATATTGACTACACACTCTATATTACAGTTGTCTGATGCACGTGTGTTAGCAGTACTCTCAATGACTGACCGTTCTTCTTTCCAAATATCCTTTACAGACCTAGAATTTACTCCTACACCTCCACAAACTTTACCTTTCAATGACAGATTTAATCTGAACTCAGGCTGCCTGCCAAGACTTGGAAGCTACTCAACCTACGTCTTGACAAAGAGTCTGTTCTTCAGGATAAACACCAGAAGGACACGCCTGAGTTTAGATTAATAATCTAATTACGTACCCTCGGACATAGGCCTGGCTTCAGTTGACTCTTCTTCTGGTTAGAATTTATTTCACTCCAGAATAAGCAAAATGGAAACAAAACAGGAATCTAACTCTTATTTCAGTTGAGAGATCTCCTGGTGCTCTTCTGTACTACAGCTCTAATAATTACACAGGAAGCAAAAGAAAGCCTTAGTTATGGGCTGTATCAATCCAGTGGAGACAGTTGAGTCTTAGTTCAAACAGCAACCATGACTCTCCACTTCTCTTTTAAAAGAAGGACCATAAATGGACTTCGGCAAATACAGACAGATTTTCTCCCAATGTACTCTATCTCAGAAAGAGCAATGCTGATGCCGGATCCGCTGGACAACAGACACATTGTTTTCCTGTGTGAAGAATGTCTCAGTCAGCCATTTGTGTGTAGATTAGGCCTCCCTTGTACTACATCGGCTGCAAAGAAGGACCATAATTCCCTGATGAATCTGGCTGAGTATATTTAGCATCCAGTAAACAGTGAGTTCAGTGCACTGCTACAGACACTGTAGAGTACTCACCATATAAGTCAACAAAAAACCCTTGCCAAAGACAAATGTCACTTATTTCAGACATTTTCCTTTTACAACAATAATAAGCCAAAAGAAGACAAAGCAACCTCTACTGGCCTCCTGTAAGTTTTCTACATCCTTTGCACAGAGGAGTTTGGGTTAAGAAAGATATTAATTCATATGTGAAAAACAGCTGACAAGTTCCATTTCATTTCTAATGAATAATTAGGCTTCGTTTAGCTTATCTTTCTCATCATCAGACTTCCAGTTCCAAAGATCCTTCCTAAAGTTGCGATGCAGTCAAAAGAGGATGGGGAAACCAAGCTCAGAATGAAAAATTTCTTACATTTCCAGTCCAATTCACTGTCATTTGTGTTGCTTCCCTCTACAAATACTATCATACATTAAGACGTCACTGGCAAGAGATTTAATGCCAGCCATATGTAAAGAAAAAAGGAAAAAAAATACCCCCACACAACAAAAAGATGAGAAACGGGCAAGTGGTTGCCATGCCTCTTACTAGCATTGTCTGCTGAGATACAGCTGCAGAATAACATCTAAATGGGAATGTCTGCTGACTGTAGTGAATTATTTATATACCATAATCCATCTATATTATACCTCCATTCATAATCAGTTTTTAAAATATATATTCTTAAAAATGTATTATATGTAACTTTATATCCTTTCATACAGTAATTAGTAGTTCAGATCGTCACAGAAATATAAACTGGAACCACCAGATAGACACTGATGTACATTAGCTGAAGGTCTGGGTGAAAAGAGGAGTCACCTAAACAGAACAGATCAGATACGCTGAAGCTTAGAGCCTGACTGAACAACCAAATCCTAATGAGACACTAATATGATTTGAAGTCAATGGAAATCCTGATGGTGTGTGCTGGTGAAATGTGAGCAGGAGAAAAGTACTTGGAAACAAAATGCTGGGTGAAGAAGCAGTTCCTATGGAAACCCATGGAACGGCAGCATGTACATGTTGGCTTTCATTTGCTAGGACAAATCAAGGAGACGGACTTTCTGTACCCTTTATCAACCAGGACACCTATGCTGTGATTGGGGTGATCTGGTTAAAATTCTCATTCTTTGTGAAGTGGGATAAAGTTAACTCCCATCTTAGCACTGATGTCACCAGTGACACTGATGGCACCATGTAATCTGGATGAATGTGGGTGTCAAATGTACATTCTGAGGAATTCCTTTGTTAGTCAGCCCACGACTATCATTAATTTAAAGTGCTCCTACCTCCTTTGTTATCTCGAACATTTTGACTGAATCTCTGCACTCTGTGTGCGTGGTCTATGTAAAATCTTGTATACAGGCTAACATGTCCACAGGGACATGACTGTCTTGGAAATTAAAACCATTTCTGTTTGGTGTGGTGTTGACCCTGCTATAGCTTTATGTATTCAAACCCATACAATTTGCATTAATATTGTAGTGGCTTTGTGTGGTGAAGAGGTGAACCAATCCTTTTATTCTTTTAATGACACCAAAGAAAATTAAAATAATCAGATACGTATGTGGTTCTACTAGTAGGTTTCTTAAATTATAAGGCTGCTTAGCTGGGCTTAGTGGTTACTATGGTATTTAAATTCGAGCGGCTGTTGAATGATTCAGACCACATACTACCAGGGGCTGCCAATTTGCAGAGTCAATGGGAGAAGTAGTCATCGTGCCTCCAGTAGGCATCTATGGCAGATGGTCTGAATACAACCCCTATTCTTTACCATTGACTGCATAAAAACAGAAGCTGGCTGCTTTGGATAGCAGGAAATATGAATCACTTCATCAGCCTCTAAAAGACAGACATGATAAAAGACACTTATATCCACATTAGGTGCTGTTGTGCAAGGTATGAATACATCCCAAAGTGAATACAGCACATGGGAACAGTGCTAAGAGGAAAACTATCATTTTATCTTTATGAGATTATCATAAATGATAAATTGATCATTTTATCTTTATGAAATAAAGATAATGTAAGAGAGAGCTTTGCTTACTGTGTCTACCAGATGATAGACTCAATGTGAAGGACAAGTGTTTACCAGTTAAATCCCACTACCAAAACTGACGTGGCACGTTTGCATTCTCAAATGAGGAATGACTAGGAGGATTGAGGATTGAGTCAGGTTTGACTAGATTGTGGGATTGTCACTGTCCTGGTTTGAGTGACACAGGCTTAGTTTCTCCTTCAGTAATTTTACTTTTCAGTAAGTTCTCTTCTTATGCTAGGGAAAACTGCATTTTTAGAAGACTCCAGTGTCTGAATTTGTGAAAGTATTTACTTTATAGCCAGCTATGGTATGCAGGTTTAAAGGTCTCAGTGCTTTCAAGCTCACCAAGGTGCGGGGACAAGGAGCACTTGACCCAAGCTGGCCAACAGGATTATTTCATACCATGAACGTTCTTCTCTTCTACGAGACCCTTGAGCCCTTCCCTTCCTCCCGAAGCCATAGCGCTCACGGTGTCAGACATTTGTTGTCCCCTGCTGGGAGTGCACAGCTTTCTACAAATAGAACTGGCTAAGTATAATCCTTGTATATTTTATATTAGTATCAGGATCAATATTGGTTCTTATTGTTCAATATTTCAATATATTCAATATTGTTCAATATTGGTTCTATTAGGGAAGTTAATTATTTAGTCTTATTCTATGAAATCCATTTATATTTCAACTCTCAGATTTCCTTGGTTTTTTCCCCAGTTTCCCTTTCTGGTCATCACAGAAGAATTGTCTAAATGACAACAAATTGTTGTGGGTTCTTCAAACCGTAAGAGTCACCCTTTGGGAGAGCCATAGGACTGAGCTGATACAATGGAGCAATGCAGAAAAATTGCTTTATTCTGTAATACAGAAAAAAGTCATTTAGTCAACCAACACCAATGCACATGGTATCAAGCTGCATTGCTGCATCCGTAAGACAGAAAGAGGTTGTTGGTGGTGAAGTTATTTGATAGTCTTGGCTAGGACCAAAAAAAGAAGCCTGGGCTTTAAAAAAAAAAAAGAAAAAAAAAAAAGGTGGTAGATTTATTTCTGCTTTTTAAATTAAAACAGTTTTTAAAATATAACCTTTACCATTGAAAGAAAAAAACCCAAGTGTTATTCTTCCCCACCCCAAACTCTTCCCCTAGCACTGATGGCATAATAATTGTTTTCAGAGTTATCCTAACTGCTGTATAATTTCACTTGTCAGTATTATTTCTCTGTCAACTGGCAACCACTTATTTACTGTGAGTAATGTACCAGTACTCAAAAGAAAACGAGCCCATAGTCAGGTACATGCAGCTTCCCCTCCCATTACAGGAGGGGAAAGGGTGAATGGAGCTGTGATGCTGGGAGCACTATGAATGATCTACCATAACGAACGTCTTGCTTGAACCATATGGAGTGCTGGTCTCCTATCATTTAAAGTTACTAAACACATATAATGGTTAGCTCATTGTAAACCATGAGAGCCCACGACCTGTGATTAAAACTGATGGACTTCAGTAAACTATTTTTGCAGGACAGGGTTGTGGTGTCCAACTTGGCATTTTGGAGGCAGAAAAATTCTTCACAAGTTTGTATCTTACTTCCTCAGATTCTCCTATGAAATAGCTTGCTTAACTCCTGCCTCAGCAGTCCACAGAACACAAGGAACAGAAATATTGTCTTTGCATCCTTTGCTGGAAAATGCCATGGTAAAAGAGAACGGCCTTCAGGGACGGGAGACAGCTTCCTGCCTGCCTGAATAGACAGAAACTGAGTTCTGACCCATGATGAACTAGCACCCCTTCCCACACAAACTGCTCACTGGTTTTGGGGCTATGATATGAAAACAAGGCAGCAGCTGCCCCATTGGGACATGGTATAAAACTCAATGGTCTCAATCCTTACGGGTCTCCTTCCAACTTGAAATATATTCTATGACCCTCAATAAGTCAGCAATAATGCACAGGTCATCACCATCCTGGGAAATCTGGATTCCCAATTTGGTTTCTTAAATTGTCCTGTGGGAGTCTAAACGTATGCACCTAAGGTTACAACCGGATTTTGATTCAAAAAATTCTTGTTTCACCTGACATCGCTGGTACTTTCTGCAACCGTGGTGGACTTGCTTTCCCCCTCCGCCCCTGAATTTGGCCCGAGACAGGATCACTATGAGAATTACATGAGAACCTCCAGTACCTGCACCAACAGCAGCAGATTCATGTCTGGTAAGGGTGACTTTAACTTGAGTGCCTGCAGTAACTCCAATATCACACTGCGCGTCAAGTAGAATTTGTCCCTTTCCTACAACAGAAAAAGACAGAATTATAAATGTCCTGAAATTCATTGACACCTATTAGTAAACCACAAAGATACTTTTTATCTGAGTTTGAGAATAAAAAAGTTACAAAAGTGTACTGGTTTCTCCTGTCTTACAAAAAAGCAGAGATCATTCATCATTTATGTAATTCTGTAGACTTGATCAAACAGACATCAATAAGGGTGATTCTCCTTTGATGTCGTATCAGGCACTATATGCAAGATGTCAATATTCACACATGAAACAGATTTTATAAAACAGTTATAAAGCCCAGGCAGGCAGCATAGCTTTCACTAAGTAGTTCCACAGGAGGGCGATGAGGCACTGGCACAGGTTGCCCAGAGAGGCAGGGCATCCCTGGAGGTGTTCAAGGCCAGGCCAGATGGGGCTTGGAGCAACCTGGTCTAGCAGGAGGTGTCCCTGCTCTTGGAAGGGGGGATGGAAATAGATGATCTGTAAGGCCCCCGCCAACCTAAACTGTTCTATGATTCTGTGATATAAAAGGAGACACAGGAGAACAAAACTGGCAATAGTATTTAGCATTACTCTTTCATTAAACCTTCCAGAAATGGTCTACATTTTACCATACTTTTTTTTCTATTGTGATTCCCCTTAAAATAAGCATGCCTGTGCTAAGGCAGCTTGGACATCTATTTTCATTCGTTAGACTAGCAGTACTTTTCCACTTACACATTAAAAACCATCTTGGCTACAGCTGCTACAACAGAAACATTTTAAAACATAGGGGAAAATCAGCCAAAGGAGATTACAACTCTATTCTTAGGCTTCTGTGTTCTAGAGCTGAGACAGCAAGGAGGTACAAGAGATAAGCTGAGCCTGTTATACATCTTACTTTGACATTCTCTGACTTTAGACAATAAGATAAAAACGTGGAACAAATCTATAACCTGCTACTGACCACAGCAACTCAAGAATTTGGGTCAACAGGAAGACTTACATTGAGCTCTCTTTCAAACGACCATTAGAGAAGACATAATGCTGTCTAATAAAGAGAGCATACCTTAAGCGTGCTTAATATTTAAAGCATAGTATCTTCCATCTTGTAAATCTCATGCACCTGCCTGCTCACTGAAGTTAAATGTGTGGAACTTCTTATTCAGTCAGGGCCTCAGTTCCTCTGTGACGTCTGTAAAATGGGATAGTAATGTTTGCTTCTTCCTCAGAGAAGTCTTGTGAGGTTTAACTAGTGAGGGTCACTTCGAAGGCCACCTCCAGCTGCACACAGTAACAAGTGCAGCTAAAAGCAACACTGCGTGTCTCCCACAACACCCACATACCTTTTAATGAAAACAGATTTCCATATCAGCCCCTGATTTGGGTGAAGGTGCCAGAACAAGTCAATGGTATGTCTTTCACAGACATTATGATGCCAGTCTGTGAATCAAGAGACCTTACTTCAAGGTCCTAGTTTGATCTTCAATTACATGGAGTGTGCAGACAGATAACCCATTTAGCTGATGGACTGAGCCCCAAAATACAGTGGTCCTTGTCTGACTACATCGCTGCAGTCTAGGCAGCTAAACTCACAGGAAGCTAAAACTCAAAAATAAATAAATAAATAAAATCCTTCCCTTATGGGAGCAGCAAACACTGGATCAGTTCAGCTGTATTATGAAACCACTACTTGAGGGGACAAGTATTCAAAAGTCACGCATCCCACATGCATGAGTGGTGCTCTGATAAGAATAATACAATATAAGAATATCCAGGAGAGGTCAGATCAGAACAAGTGTCCTCAGTAACTTATCTCGCACAAGGCGATAAGCAGATGCAAAAGGAAGAATAAAAACAAGGCAAGCGTGTATAATTCCCACTACGACTCTCCTAGCCACCAATTATTTTCAGCTCAGGGAACGTCTGAGCTTAGTGTGGTTCCTGTATAATTCATAACTCTCAGTGGATTTCTCTTCCATGTTTGTGCCCATTGATGTCTTGTATCCATGTCAGCTTTTAGCACCCACAGTATCTGGCAAGAAGTCATGCGCTGTAGAAGAACCACTTCCCTTTACTTGCTTTGACTCTGGTTCCTACAAACTTAATATATTCTTGTTCTTGTACTGGAAAGGCATGAAATTATGCATCCCTGTCTGGGTCACTTTTGCCCTTACAGACCCCTCTCACACTCCCACCAGTTGTTACTTTTTCAGACTGAAGATCCCTAACTTAGTTGCTCTGTATGTGGAACTCATCTCACTGTTTGGTCGTTCTTGTTACCATTATCTGAACTTTCTCTGATTCTGCTATATTCTGATTGGGAATGGGGAACCAGAACAGTGCCCAATACTCCAGGTACAAATACATTCTGATTACTTGCTAGATTTCACCAGCAAGAGTCACCCTTCCCACCATCACATCTTCACAGTCTTGAGACACGTACATAATGCAGTGCCATGCTAAGCCAGTTGACAATTACATTCCCCGAAACACTGGACAGAAGTTCCTACCAGTAACCCAGTACTGTAGCCTGCACATACTGGAAAAGAAGAGAGGTAAAATTCTTTCAAAAGCATCAACTATTTTACAGACTAACACCTATGCTACACAGGATACAACTGGGCCGTAATAAATTGCTTTGTCAGAACACTGGGAAGGAAGCATAGGCGTCATGAATCCCAGCTTTCCTTGGCTCTAGGGATAATACAACAGTGAGATACCTCGTTCTCAAAGTCTCCTATCTCCAAGCCTTAAACTTTTAATGTTTGTTAAGCACATGCAGTGCAGAGAGATGAAGCAAAAGCAAGCAAAATGTTTTTTGACATCTGACCTCTTGCTTCCTGCACTGTAAATCAGGAGCGATGACACCAAAGTCAATAACCCAGAGTACCCTTCCTATAGAAGTTTACTTACTCCTATCGTTCTGCTGGTGATAAACACGTATAAACATGGTTTCTGCATAGTTTAAGAACTTCTTCTGCCACAGAGCTGTAAATGGGTATTAGTTCCATCGGAATGACACCCAGGCAGGTCACATGCGTAAACCTCATACCAAAGAGTCAAGAATACAACTCCCTTAGCTTCTGTTCAGCCAAATTAACCCTCTCGAATGTCTATGCACCCCTCTAAAAAAAATGCCTTACAACCTTCAAACTGTGATTTCCCAGGGGTCTATGTGCAGAATGTCAAAATACTGAAGTTTGTTTCTAGGAGTATCTCAGGGCCCAAACGTAGTAATAAGAATAGTAAATTTGGTTCTTTAATGGAGTGGTATGCTATCCTCCAAGTAAGCCAGTATAAAGCAGAATTCTTTATTTTGTCTTTGTTGCTACTACAGTAATTACAAATACTGACGATCCATCAGCCACTTCAATATTCTTTAAAAAAAATTCAATAGCAAAATCACGTCATGCCCAATTCAGCGGCATTCTGCATTTACTTAGTAAGGGCCAACAGAATGCTAGCAAAAGGCTAAGTTGAGGTTCAAGCTTCTGTAGCTGTAAGAGATAGGAAAGCAAGAAAGTGTCCATTTAGGACCTTAAGACACTTGAAAGGAAAACTAAAGATAAGATTACAATTCACAGAAGAGATGCTACACTCAACTGAGAGTTCCAAAGGCACTGAAAAAAATAAATTGCTGACCTGGAACAGAAACTCAGACAAGGAAATATCAGATTGATGTGAGTCTTCAGGCTCCAAGACCAGAGAAACTGAGATATTCCTGCCACGGGGTATTAGGAAAATGTTGGAGATAAAAAAAGATTTGGAGTGGTTTTACAGCACTGACCTCTACAAAGCGCACGTCAGAGTGGCTTGGTCTTTGAAAAGACAAGAATCCTCCATAGCTTAGCTGAAACTATTGGCAGGAACTTTGTCCCAGCCAACGCATTCAAAGTTGCAAAACAAACAATTAAATACGAATAGTTTCAGTGATCACAAATTATATTCCTTCTGGAATTCACTTCTACATGATATTCTACCACAAACAACACTCTTACTTGGCTACAGTGATTTCCACTGTAGAGAAACACAGACATCACAACTGATTTGTTTTTTTCTAACAGCAGTCATTAATTTGGTATTTCTAATGCAAACCCATGGTAAGCTTTTAGAAATAACAAAGATAATGTAGTGTGGAGTTCCACTAAATTAAGAATTTTGTGGCTATAAATTGCAGGAGACCATTCACTAAAATGATTCCATTTCTGGGTCACCAGGTTGCACTAAACAAAATCAAGGAGGAGATTTTACCAAGCGCTATAATCCAAGCTTCCTGTGTGCAATTAAGCACTCAATATATTAATAGAACATTGAACCAGGAAGCACGCAAGAAAAACATGGGGTTTTTTTAATAGCATGGTTTTAATAAAATTTTCTTGAAATAACTGTAACTGCGGAGCATGAGGGTAGTGAAACATTTCCTGTGTTTCCCAATTTGCTTTAGCAGGCATACATGAAATAGTCTTATCAGACCACGAATGCAAGAGGAATGTCTTTGCTTCAGTTTTAAGTGGGGCTTTTTTTTTTTTTTTTACTGAAAAAAATGCCACTGTTGGACTTTAAGTTAACATTTTTCTCACTTTGCCTTGCACAAAGCCTTAACTATAGATCTAACTCAAATTACTTCCAAGAGCCGGACAGACCCTCCTGTATTGAGGAGTTTTTTCTTTCATAAAAACTCATCTCTTTCAAATGAGACAAAAAAGGTAGTATTTGCTTGCTGTAATTAAACATACTGTTAGTTTCTGTTTAATGCTTCAAACCATTACATCTAGTAAAAGTTTTTCTCATTGTCTTGTGGTGCAGTTTTTCTGAGAGTGTCATTGCTTTTATCATTTCTTCTTCACTGTTCATGATATTTTTAGTCTTATCAAGACTGAAGCAACGCATGTTCCAGTTGTACGTTATCAATACAGGAAATCATGTAGCTACTTATGACAGAATGTTTCCTGAGGATTAATTACTGTTTTGACAAAGACATCGAGGATGGAAAACCATGCACTTAGTGGCTGAAGCAGCATTTTTGTTCAGTTCTGTAATAATCCACATAATGGAGCATATAGGGCCATAGTAAAAGGTTTGATTGGTTTTGGTGGATTTTGTTGTTGTTGTTCAACTTCTCACCAATAGCTACAAAAATGAAGTTGAGTAATACCTGAGTGTTATTTGTATACCATAGCTTTCCTCCAAGAATCTTAAAAACTTTTTAAAGGTGCAAACATACTGTTCTCTTTTCTACACAGCTTACAGCCACGCACAGCACAGTTAGATACCTAATACAGGTTTTAAGCCGGGAAGCTCCTAACTTGGAATCTTCCACTTTACTTAGCTATCTGTTGCCTCCCCTCACAGCTGTGCTCTTAAAAGGCACTACTGGGAATATTTAAAGTTTTTACTACACAAAGTACGTGGCTAAACTTGTGCACTAGGAAAGATATGACTGTACAGACATTTTAGTTCATGCATGAATACCAGATATCATCTCTACAAAAGAAAAAACTTCCAAGTCATGAAATCACACCAAAACACTTTTCTGAGCAATGTTTTCGGCAGGTTCCATTTGTCTCTCTATGCTGCAAATGTGAATCTCCGTTTTATTAAAAGGCACGGAATCATGATCACTACTTGATTAGCCAAACTACATTAAAACTGTTGACATGTCTGAAACTTGACACTGATTTCATCTTTACGTAAAACATACCACTTGGGAGAAGTAGGACTTTGCCTGTCCTATTTTCAGTTGTCCCTAAAGGAAGATATATTCTCATTGTTACCTTAGTGAAGGCTCTGTAGCACAAACCACACAGTTCCACCAGGTAGGCCAGAGTGAAGACAGCATTCTGAATTACAAAGCTTAGTAATTTTGAAAAAGGCTCCAGAAGACTCTGCAATGACATGATTTAAAGAAATCAATAACTGGTTGCTCAGCAAAACAAAAAGCATTCCAACTCTGACACGCCTCAATGGAACAGCATTATTTTTAGCTCAGAGGCTATCTTGCTGGGATTTACACTGCTTCAGTCAAATGGCTACTCTAGCTAGTATTTGCCTTCATGCTCGTTTGAGAAATTAGAAGCAAAAAATTAGGAAATAGTTTCACCTCTGACACAGTGCTTATGAGATAGAAGAGATTCTGTAGTGTTTATTCAGGAAAACCTCACTAACCCCGGTGGAACTGTACTGCAGAACTTCCTTAGAAGTTCATTACTATCTTTTTTTTAAATTTTTTTTTCTTTTTTTAAAGAATAAAGGGGGGGGGGGGGGGGGGGAAGAAAAGAACATCGAATCTTTAAGAAGATATACATTCACACCCACATAGGAATGTAATCCCACCCACACTTCACTGTAACCTAGATTCCAAAGCTCTTACCATTCTCCAAAGAGTATCGGACTGCACAATTTTATGCTTATATATAATACTTTCCTAGCTAGGGGATAAGAACACATTCATAGAATAGCGCAGGCTGGCTAAATCTGAGGCAACAGAGTTATCTTTTTTTGGAACTTACCCTGGTGGCACTTGTGGTAGGTATCTTCAGCAAGCAAATCATGATTCTTAAACTAGAATCTAAAGAACACTGTAAACATATTTGAAGGGAGGAAAAAAAAAAAAAGAAACAACAGAGTTAGTACCTTTCAGTGCACGTCTTGGTTTTAGTGGTAGCAGCTACGAATAAGTTACGGGTGAAGTCTGAAAAATTATACCTGATGATTGATCTTTACTTACTTGGCCTAAACTGGCTTATTCCTGAACACAAAATGATACCCCTTCAGTGGTAACATACCACAGCACGGGCCTTGAGATGAGAAACTGTCACTAAAGGGCTAGTTTAGAAAAGTTAACTGTACCCAAATGGATGAGGGGGGAGGGAGGTTGGAGAAAAGAAAAAGAGAGGGTTAGCAGAAGGTACACATGACCTACCTCATGTTATATTTCTGTGGTTGCCCTGGGCTGTGACATTTCCCTCCCCACCCCAAGACAGGGCTGCAACTCACACCCCATAGCATCAGAACGTGCCCTGGCAATAGCTGCCTCAGAGGCCCCTCTGACGTTGTTCCTAATGGTGTAATTGATTTTTTTCTTCTGCATAAATCACACAGGTTGCACAGGTTGCAGCAGTGAATGAGACTTTACAGGGTCTATCCATTATCTTGCATCATCCCTGCTGCAAATATCTAGAAGAGCAAAAGGTCATTTACGACCCCAGAGGAAGGAACAGGAGATGGAAAGCTCAAGAGCAAGAAATTATTTTACTTGTATCACTAATGATACCTCCCATGAATAAAAGGGAAATCAGAGTAAACACTCCATCTCTATGTTCTGTGAATGGCAGATATGCAGTTGGAACTATTAAGATCGAGTTAATTTTTTATTTCAATTAGACAAGATGCAACAGATTGGAGTGACTACTACGCAAAGGGAATGGTTATTGCCTGTTTGGCTTAGTAAGTGCTGCAGGATAGTGCCTCAATTTACCAAAACCTACAGAGCTTTCAAGATCTGACTATTGCTTAATAGTGTCAAGGAATTTAATGTCATTCACATAATTTGGCGGTGACACCCAATTTAAAAGACAATGTTATAAGTCACAAAGTTAGATTTTGGATCCTTCAGCTCATACTGAGCAACACTGCTTTGCACAGAGGAAATGAGCACTGGGCTCATTCATGCCATCAGAAATAAAGTCAGAATAAGGGCATTAGAATCCTCTGTTTATTGGAAAGACTCAGTAAAGTTATTAACGTGTTTACTGAAAAGACATCTGGAAGCACACACACTAGGAGAGAAGATCCCTCTGTATGTCCTCTGACCACTCAGAAATCAGAGCCCAAGGCTTCTAGATTCAGTTTCTGCAACTATATTCTGATTACAGACAAAATATAGTACGAACTACAACCTGATCAGCCAAACAGGCTAGGCTCAGTTCCCAGCAGTCTCACTTCTCTCTGCCTGTCTAATTGTCGTGTACTTATAGCAAATTACATGGTGCTGCTCTTCTTGAGAGTTTTATTTTGTTTTAACCAGGTGGATATTTATTGCCAAAATGCTCTCAAATGCAGTATTCCAATCTGACAAAGACCGGGCATGGAAAGTGTAGAGCAAAAAAGCCAACAGAGAGGTGAAGAGTACTCTGGTCAGAGTTCTTATTGTTACCCTCGGAAAAGACAATTAAAGGGATGGATCAGATATTCAACTAATGTTTCCAGAGGAATGGGCTTATTGTATCATTAGAATATATTTACAACAACCCACTCTGATTCCTCATCCACAGCTTTCCTGCTGTTTGGGTACCTCCTGACCAATGGCAGTATAACTCGTTTCAGATGTCCATACATCATACCTTAAGTGGCAAAACACAGGGGAGTTTAGTAAGGAAGGTCTGAAACTGATTACTGATAGTGGTCCAGAGGTTGCTAGGTGAATCCATCGGCAAAGCTTCCATAAAGGTAGCAATATTTTCCAAACAGCGTAGCATTGCACCCCCTGCTGGTAAATTCTTTTTGTTGTTTAAACCCTGGGAAAAAAAAATGAGAACTGTAAACAAATATACACACGCAGAAATGGTCCTTTAAACAGTATTTGGAAATGCTGAGGTTAATTTGTTCAGAACACACACTACTAACCTCTTCTGTAATGCTAATGATAAAATGTTGTGCAGGGAATTTGAACCGTGCATGCGACAGTTAGGACTAGCTCAGTTCCTAAAGTATTGACCAAAAGATTTTTGAGCCAAAATTTTATAAGCAGGGCCCAACTCATAATCTGGTGAGACTGGCCCGGCAGTAAAACAAGCAGAACTCGCAGAGTATTCCCCAGTGGATTGCCCATGTTTTCCTTTGGACAATCTTAAACAAGGTATGTTCATTAATGTTCAGTAGCCATGTATGCTTTTTTGGCTTCTGTACTAAGGGCAGGACTGGAAAGACAAGCAATTTTAAAGTGATGTCAAAATCTTTGCATGAAACAACCGAGTTCTTGGAAGAACGGGATACGTGCAAGTGACTAGTGCCAGTGGGAGGATAAAAGTTAGGGTAAAAACAAGCCAAGTGCACAGAAGGCAGTGAGTGAAAAGCAGGCAATGAATCTTTGGTCTACTTAGAGAATCTGCCATCAGATACAGATGAGAGGGAGAACTGAGATATATGAGCAGAAATGTTCCTGAAAACCAGAAGGAGTGTTGGGGGAAAGGATAGCCCACACTACCACTGTGTAGGACAGCTCCAGGAGCTGGCCTGAGAAAAAAAAAACCAAACCAAAACAAATTAAAAAAGAAAAACAAAACCAACCAACAAAAAAAAGAAAAAAAAAATCCAGTGAGAGCAAAACCCAGAAGGAAAATGGTGAGGACAGTCTAATCCTGCATCCAGGGAGGACAAAACAAAAATTGACATTGCTTTTGGTGATGCATGTTTGCAGTCTTAATGAATGAGAAGAAATGATTGAATATGCCTGATAATGCTACCAAAACTAGCACCATTACCAGAGCCATTGCCTGCATACCTCTAACAGCTGGCTCAGAGCAGCAATGGAACTCAGTTCACTGAAGTCCATAAGAGACGTGGCCAAGGTCCGTAAAAAACTTCCATCTGAAATTCAAGAGAGATTTTTGCACTGGCTGTCCATACAGAGGTAACCAAAAGGGTCAGAAATGCACTCAGGTACCGCACATTACCTTTAATATTGCTCTGGAAGAGCTGGGGGAAAATGCCATTGGGAGCCAGCTGATGGAACACACAGCGGAGGAACTGCTTGGCCACACCTGCAGCATTTCCAGGGATCATCATGCTGAAATGAAGGGAAGGAGAAGGAAGAAGAAAGGCATTGCATTGCAGACGAAACACTTATCAAAGCTGACTACACAGAGAAAATAAAGATAATGGTATTTTTTTCATTATGGAAGTGTTCAGTTATGAGTGTGACAGTCAAAAGCAGAACTGTCCTGATCACAAAAACCAGTTCAGCATGTTGATTTTAAGACTTAAGCTCGACTATGCACAGCTGAAAAAGTTACGTATACATGCCTAAAGTATTTAGGCCTCAAATAGTTGCAATTTTCCTGATTCTCCACATAATTTGAGTCACCTGAGTTTGAAATATAATCCTGCTCTCACCTTGTATATTTCAGTGATACAGGATGAAGTTCTCGGCCTTACCATAAAACACGAACAGGCGTGTTTTATGGTAAACAGGTAAACACACACATAGTATTAATTTGCCAGGTAAACACACACATTATTAATTTGGCTCTTGCAGGTTCCTTCAAGATACAAAGTACTTCCTAATCGCTCATAAAATGAATGGCTTCATTTAAAAAGCTAAAGTATTATTTATTTATTCATACACTGCACATCTTAACATTTTTTACAGCTTCTCAAAATTAATTTATCCTATTCAGCATCTGGTTTACATAATGAGACATCACTACCCGGGACTCTCCATGGCCAAGGGTGATTCACTTGATTAAAAGTATGTAAAAGTTCATCAAGACAAATACTGAACACAAAACAAGCTAGAAAAAGCAGCACTGAAATTGTGGGAAACCAGAAGGCATCTCTAAATTATGTCTGAATCTGAGTTTTTTCAAGTTCGATACATATGAATATGGGTTCCTGTTCATCTTCAGAACACACAAGATATTTGAAACAAGTGAGAAAGGACAGGCTTTTCCTCTTACTCACAAACCTTAAAATAGATTTTTTAAAAGTTAAATTTAGTTGATTTCAGGGCCAGTGAGGATGACGCTTTAGATTAATTGTTTCATTTTGGCCAAGGTATCCTTTGCTACCATACCTTTCTGCTTGATTAGAGAAACTGGTACTTGATGCCAACCTGGAATAAAAATAAAAAAATAAGTGAAGTTCATATGCTTTTTTTTGTGTTTCATTTTTAAGCAAGCCAATAAAGTACCATTTTTTTAAATAATAACTAATAATTTTAGAGAACATTTAAAATGACACCAGAAGGGTCTTCTAAAGAGCACATAAATTCATTCAAATCATGTTTGCACGACATATAAACTCGATTCAGTCTTGCAGCCTCACAAATACTTAACAGCTCTAAAAACAATTCTACTTGCCTCCCTGTACTAGCATGAAGATAATGAAGTAAAGCTATTGCCTTACATGCACGTCACGGAGAATTACTAACCTAGAGGGATTTGGAGAAAAAAAAAAAGTTTGCCAGAAGCTGCCTACTGACTGAATTGTTTCTGATTAACACAGCAACATAGACTAAGCCAAAATTCTCTACTTGGCAGTCTGAAGTGAGGCATCTAGTTCCAGATTTTGGCACCTAATTAACTGGCCTAATTTCAGAAACACTAAGTACCTATGAGCTTTTACAAAGTCAGATGAGAAATACTGCGTTCTCAAAAATCAGGTCATTTATTCTAGTACCTAAATATAGACTTTAAAGCCAAATATGGGCATTCAGTGATGAAAATACTGAACACAATCTTAAAGCAATATCATGCCTTTCAATATCCATGACATGTAAAAGAATAGAATCAGGGCTTATAATATCAAAGCAACACACCTTTAATACTAAAAGCCACTGAAAAGCAACTATAAGGACGTACACTGGAAGCATCTCTTGCATACAAAATACCATACAATTTTTACTTTCATCCACTACATATCAGTGTTTCAGCTGGTGTAAGTTGATATGTATAAACGGAAAATTCATAGAGCTACGCTAATTTACATCTGCTGATGATCTGGCCTTCAATGTTTATCTTTGATTCCTGATCCTTTTAGGCTCAATTTAGCTGTTGCTCAGTCCTCCGTCAGCCTTGATTCTGAAGACAGTTTCCTCTCTAGTCACCACTGCAAAATCCAACAAGGACCTTAAGGCAGCTCAGTTGAATGCATCAGTGTAAACCAAAATGGACGGTGATTTTCATTAATGATGCATGACAAGCTGAGGACACAGCACACTTTCAACAGTGCAATAATGTCAGGCTAGATGGTACAGGGGACTGAAGATTATATTCTCTTTAGTCACCCCAGCATAAATCAGAAAAAGTCATTAGAGTCCCTGACTCCACTGTTGTTAAGAGGAGGCCACACTAAAATACATTAATTCTGGTGTGCAAAGCTAATTCTGGGTGAAAACAGGTCTGAAGCTACCTTCAAGAAACACAGACCTTGATTCTGCAACAGCTGTAGCATCTGCTTACATTAAAGCACGTGAGGATTTCTGCAGAATGCAATGAGACGAATCACTTACCCAACGGACCTAACACTTACTTTCAAAAATCTACTCAAGCATACAAATACAACAGCATGAAATATTTCTTCTAAAAGAAATCAAAGTCCTATGCAAAGTTTTTCTCTCCTTTTGAAAGCAATAATGCAAGTGGGGTTTTAGAATAAACAAAACATTTTGTTTCTGACTTCGGAAAAACTTCATGAGACATGAACTACACTAAACATTTACGAACACCTTATACTTTTTGAAGTTTACAGCTTGGATGTATTTATTATTACCACTCTAAATATTTTGCTGCCCAAAGGCCATTAACCCCCATCATTACCTCCACTTTGCAGACCTCAAAGCAGAACAGTAAATGCACAGTAGACAGTAAATGGATGCATTCAAATTTGTACATGTTAAGAACAGAAGTTAAGCTTTTCAAAGCTCCTCACTAATTCAAGAGCCTAAATACCATTTTCAAACAGGACTTTGATGCTTGGAAAGCTGAATCTCACTGGACATCAATGAAATAAGAATCAACATGTCAAAAATCCTGATTCAGGAACTAGAGCATAAAGTTAAGTGTATGCCAGAGTCTCACAAATATGTCAATCTCAGTCAGTAACTTGTCGGTAACTTGAACCCGGAACTTCTTCTCTTCTGAAAATCCCAACAGATGCCTATCTGTTCCTGTGGGTACTCAAATAACTTTTGAAAACCTTTCTGTATACTGTTTAGGTATTCTGAAAGTCCCTGGATTTCCTAACATCTTGTTTCCTCTTGTAAGTGTGAAAGTAGTAGTTCTTTTTCTAAGAATAAAAATGCAAGAAGTCCAATTCATTCCCACCTCTGCTGTCGGATGGGTATTTAGAGGTAATGATATGTCACTGCTTGATGAAGGACAGCAACTTAGGTTATATACATGAGGCACCGGAATGCCTCTCTGCTTGTATATGCTACTTATTTTGCATGTATTCAAAATAATTCCTTTATGCAGAGCCTCCTACTGGACTTACAATTTGTCAGAAATGACAGCCAGTAGGAACAACACAGGACATTTACCGGGAATACGCCATGTTGCATGCCATCTGCTGCTCTAAAACAATCAGCTGCCTCACCAAAGATGCAGCATTTCTTCCTCAAAGCACAGAAAAAGGTAGCCCACTCGGCCCTCACCCCTTGATAATTTATCTTCCAAATGATTTACTCTCTGTAGCTGTAGTACCGCTGTATTTACAAGAATCACACAGAATGGACAGCATCTGTTTCGATTAGAAACTTTGCCTCCATCAGAGTTCATTAGCAGTGACAGCGGGGAACTGTTGCCTTGCAATTAACAGAAATGGAGGACTCGAATAGCTGCTGTGTTTAAATGGAATTGGGAGGTAGTGGAGAGACAGGGCTGTGAAGAGCTGCGCCCCTGCAGAAGTCACAGTCAAGCAATTTTAACTTCAGTCACTGAAAAAAACATGGAAAAGGAGAGCTGCGCATCATTTCTGCTGCTCAGAAGTTCATTCTGAAACACCCCCAACGCATCCCTCCCACCTCTTAGGCAGGACGTTGTGGAAGAGGCAGAGGCAGCGATGACAAGTAACACAATAGTAATGGTGCACTGCAATTATCCCATGCCCACCGGGTAAAAGTCACAAGAGAAAAACAATAGACACCAAATGTTTAAGGCCTTATGAGAGACAATCCTACACAGCAGCTGGTTAGGAAGCCCTCATAGGGATGCAACTCTTTACTTAGTCTAAATTAGCATAAAAATATGGTTGAAAAGCCTGAAGAGCTTCAGGTAAGCTAATGAATGATCATACCCAGGAGTCAACAGTCCTCCAGGATCAACAAAATTCAGAAAAGCTGACCACATTTGTGCATAACTTCTAAAGCAGGAACCACATAAAAGTGAAAAATTATGTCAAATCAGCAAAAAGGGGTATCCAAGAGGATTCAGTTTTTACAGGAAGCACAGAAGCTGTTTAAGAACACTGCATTGGAAGCACAGGGCCAAGATACCCCACTTGGTAAGAAAAACTTCAAGAGAGCACAAGAAAGGAAGGGTGAGGGAGGTTATTAGAAAAAACAAAGCTTCTTTCAAAAAGCTGAAGTCATGTCTCAAATGAAAGCAGAAAAGAGCATCAATTCTGAGTAAAAACCACAAGGAGGCAGGCCAAAAAACAGTTCAAGGAGCAACTAGCAGAAGGAATAAAAACTAATAGTAAATCTTTCTTCAAGTAAAATAGGATCAAGAAGCACACCAGAAAGTATGCTGCATCAATGGCTGTTCAGGTAATAAACAGGGCACTCAAGGAAGATAAGGGTACCGCAGAAAAACTCATTTAATCCTTTACATCGCTGCTTACAGTGGGACAAGCTGGGGAGATTCCCAACCCAGAACCTCCCTTTGGAGGGTGAAAGGGGAGGACATCAAAGCAGCTGCCCAAAATTGATGTGACAGTGGAAGGAGTTACATAAGAAATTGATGAAATGATGAGTAACAAAGCAGCGGACAGAACCAGATGTCATTCACTTAAGAGCTCTAAAATACATAATTTCACTATATGAAGCTTATGTAAACCCAATTCCAGGCACAAAACTTTTTCAATCCCATGGGAGAGAGAAAAGTCCTGAATTTACCTTCCTACAGACTGCATAATGTCCAACAGCAGAGGAGCAGCCAAATCTGGACTAAGGTGAATGAAGGTTGAGAGCACGACTATGGCCAGGCCCAGCGTTTCTTCATCATATTCTTCAAGAATAGCCCCACAGTCATGGCACCTGCAAAGAACAGTTTTAAAACCCAACGTTTTTAAAAATTTAAAACAAAGTATTACTATATATACATATGTGAATAATTAAGTCTTTTTAAAGTACTGTAATTTAGCATATTATATTCAAAATTTATTTAGAAAGGTAATCAAACTGTGATCTTTCTATAATTAATAACAGTCTACGGCTTTCAAACATTAATAAAGCTTCTCACTAGCTGCACGGGCTGTTTCTTCACTGCCAAAAGAAAGAGGGTGACAGGGCAGACCTTCTTTTGGGTCTCACATTAGGAATTGTTAGCCAGCTCCCTCACTGTATGGCACTGCTTCAGTCTGCACTATCCAAGAGGAATCTGCAGCAGTGAAGACTAGCCCTCAGCAACGGGAACACCCAGCCAGTTCAGGCCAACTGCGCTCAACTCTTCTATTCAGCAGCCTAGACACGAACGGTGACGCTCACAGATGATCTTAAAGAGATGGAACAACTTCATATTGTCCTCCCTGTCAGTCACGAATTATGAATAACAAATTATACAATTAGGAGAAAATAATCTGATTGGTTCCCACAGCAGTTATGGCTACTGAGAAAGAAAGGAAAGGACCTCTCAGGGGCACAGAACCTTAGATTTTAGAGAAGTCTCCTTTCCCAGGGCAGATTTGCTGCTGAGTCACTTATCCTTCCTGAAATGCTCAAAGACAACTGATGAAGTTCTGAAAGGGCTCCATAACGTCTAATTATAAAGGGGATGGCAGATTTAGGAGAGATGAAACAGGCTTTCACAACCTACGAAAAAGGCAAACCGATGTGGGAAACTGGCTTATCTCAGCCCAGTAGGAAGGCTTGCTTAATTTGATCAATCAGTTGCTAATGACTCCAACAGATTGTGATATTTTAACTTAATGGAATTGTACAGGCAATTTTCTTGCCTTTGTTACTTAACAGAAAGAAAATATGCCAACAAAGTCATGAAAGTCAGGCTCAGCTGGTCTGCCTGTTAACAGGTGGTGCTACAGCTTTGGGGAAATGGCCGAAGGAAATGCCAAAGATAAGCCTAACTTTTGGGATGCCCCACTTTGTCACACAGTAAGGTCCACTTCCAGTCACGGACTGCACCATGGCCCTGTCTTTCTCCAGTGCCCATCCAGGAGCATCTGTATACTGGGCTGAGCGCAGGGGCACAAACAAGAGCTTATGCCTTCTCTTTCCAGTTTTTGACCAAATCAATGCATGGCTCCTTGCTGGCTGCTTTACTTCGCCATTAAATGAGTGCATTTACGTTTAACACTTCCTTTAGAGGCATTTTAACCAACCAATTAAGGTTTGCAAAAGCTTTTGGGATCAGTGAGTATCATCTTTAAAAACGCTATGTTGATTTCACATGGTTACACATCAACAGTGACCTATTTCAACAGAAACCCAAAGGAATTTTTAAAAAGAGCTTTTTTTTTTTTTTTCTAAGGTGAAAGTGGTTTCTGATGGATCACAAGGAACCCTTGATTTAAAATAGGATGGGAAGTGCTTCCCCTGCCCTCCGCGCGCACGCGATAGCCTGAGTCATCATTTTGCCAGTGCAAACTCACACAGATCCTACTGAATTAAAAGCACATCTTGCTGGCAGTGTTTAGAAAATGTTCAATTTGGGGTAAAAAAAGTAATTGAAAAACTTAGCGTAGAGATAAATGATAGAATGGACTTCATATTTCCATAGAGAATATCTATACTTTACTCGACCTATTTGAAGTTCAACTACTTCTTTGAAATGAACAGAAAAAGAACTTACTTGTCAGTCATCAAGGTGGGCTGGTCATCAGCAAATTCTTCTGGTGCAGGTACAAACATACTGACTATACTGGGTGCTGACAGCAAGCTAGATTTTGTGGCACCTTAAAGCAATTAGGGGGAAAAAAATAAAAAAAAAAGGAAAGAAAATCACTAAACAGAAATCCAAACTGCTTGAAGGGCAGACTTCTAAAGAACAGCCGTAATGGTTTTACTGTGCACAGAAATAATAAAGTGTGTCTACACAAGGATATATAGCACACTCCTTGCCTCTGCCAGATTATTCCAATCACCTAGAACTATTGATTAAAAAAAACCCACAAACCAAAACAAACACTTACGAAAAAATACAAATCCTCAGAAAAAAGATAAAGAACAAAAATTCCAGGAAGGCAGATGTAATCGTATCTAATCATTTTTAGGGAGAGAGTTGCTATAGTTGCTATGAGACTGCACAGCAGCAGATTTGCAGTGTTCCCTGGTACTTCTAGGGAATTGCCTTCCCATAGTTCTCGGTGACATGAAGAAGGAAATAAGTTCCTATGTCTCAAGACCAGGTCATCAACCTATTCATACTATCCCTAACAGAGGCACAGGAGAGAAATCAGGAAAGGACAGCCAGAAGAAATAATTCATACGGAGTTGAGACTCCGTATGAGGATTGGAGGACTGACAGTTCGAAATGCTTTCCATTGAAAGTCTTCACAAGCATCTTTATTCTCCAAAGCTGAGTCGTTCAGCTGGGAACACAGCCACTGTGATCGTGCCAACACCTGGGGCTCCCTTTGCCTTTGGCACTTTTTGTGCACTTAATTTCTGATAGATGCTTGTTTTAATAGGAAAAGTTATGTATAATGAAAGAGTCAAACTCTAGGCTTTTCTGAGTTCTGCTTTCCAGAATTACAGCAATATAGGGTAGTCTGAGAGTCTACCATCTCTCCAGTGTGGTGGTTTTCCTCCCTTTGTCCCTTTAAGCAGGCAACAGCAATTCCAGAAAAAAACATACAGAAGAGGCAGCTCTCCAGCTAGTCTGGTTGCTAAGAAAATCTCAAGAAGAATAATCAGACTCATTCACGAGCCATCAGAAACTTGGATGAATGCTAACTGCGATGTACGAGCCATGTCATTCATCTGAGATGCCTTGTGATGATCATTTAAATATTGTTAGGAATTTCATTCTCCAGGTCACTGAGACAGAAAGAGAGATTCATTTCTTAAAGAAAAATATCTCCTTTGGTTGCCACACATAGCTGACAGGATAGAGAGAGCATTACTCCTGTTCCCATACAGTTCAGCACCGATAATGAATCCAGGAAGCTCAGCTGGTAGGTACCATCAATATGCATATCAGCTGTCCCCCAGGGCATCTCATTCTAAAGACCAATCAATGAAAAGCTCATTTTTTGAACCAATGTTTAGAAGAGTACCAACACTCTTTTAATGCCAATTTAACCATAAATTAAGTAATTCATTACTGATTTTCTAGCTGGTTGCTTCAATCTGCAGGTTCAGATTTAATGTTAACATTAGCCTGTTCTGATAACATTTAACTATGGAAACAGGAGGGAGTTTCTCCACCTAAGCTAGGTTGAGATGGAATTTCTGATGAGATAATCCCAGTTTCTGCAGGAGAAGCAAATTTAACATCAGCTCTCAGGCAAAATAATCTAAGAAGCTCCCACAATTTCTGAACTCAAAATATGTGCAGTGACGAGGGCTTGCTACACAAGAATAGGACAGGTTTTACCCTATTATTTTACTAAGTATGGAAGGAAATATTTCTTTTACATACGGAGTTCAGTACTTCATGATTGTCCCCTGAGATTTTGTTGGATATGAGCAGACACTCCAGGAAGTCCAGAATACTCTTCAGTAATGTAGGACACCATCCAGAATGCAAGGAATAGGAGTAGATTTTCACATATTTCTAGGTTTTTTCCTCTCACAAATGAATAAGGAACCATGATTCTCTGATTCTATAACCTTCTACCATGATCTCAGAAGTTTCACTGTCATGTTCTCTAGATGTAAGTCCCATTGCAGCACACAAATGCTGAAAGCTTTCATGATGCAGGTTACAACGTTGAATTAAGACTTAACTACTCAAAATAAAAACGTCCTCTCTCATGCACTGAGCAGTAGTGAAAAAACATGATTTAGGCATAGAAGGTAGGTCACTGCCCCATTGCAAGGCTGTAAGAAAGTCTGGATGTATTTTGGCTGTGAGGGAGAAGAGTTCATAAAGAAATGAGATTCAACCGCACTCTGCATACAGAGTCTTTTATTTCCAGGTTGAGAGCCAAAACAAGTATGAGCAGAAAGCCAGTACTTCTTTTATCAGCTGTCCCTGTCTTGAATGAAATGTCTTGTCTAATAATTTTTCAATAACCTACGCTCTCCAGGACAGTTGAAGGCTTTAATATAGCTGAATGGAACATAAAAGTCAGCACCACTTGGTACTAACCAAAAAACCTTCTTGGCAGTCTTGGCAGAGAGATCAGGGCAAACGGACACTGAACTAACCTCTGATTCTTAATGGTGGTCCCTCCAAGTCAGGGTTTAGGCAGACAGGGACATTACACAGCCGTTTTCCATGCTGTATCTGCTCTGTGAATAAATACAGAACTTCAGTCTCCAGAACTATGAATCCATCATCTGTCACCAGCACCACACTTCTTAAACAGTTAAAACAAGAGAAAGACAAATACAACAGCTATTGAAAAAATAAAGAAAAGAGTTAATTTTTTAAGCATAGAAAAGGAGGGGAAAGGGAGGGGTAGAGAAGGATGAAAGAAGTCCACAACGGAAAAAGGACACAGATAACCTAATACCAAAGAAGGCATTTCAGAAAAGTAAGTGTCATTAAACAAGAAAGGAAGTGCTAGCCACAAAGATTCAACAAGTTATGGAAAAGATGACTCACAAAAAGAGAAAGACAGTGTTTAGAAATACCAAGAGACTAGAAGTCACGTATAGTTTGTTCTGACAGAAGCTAGACACAAAATGATTTTCTTTAACAGATAGCAAGCTTGGGAAAAGTGTGGTTTGAAATAAGAAATGAGAGAGACACATGCTACTTACCAATGTAAAAAAAAAAAAAAAAATTAAAAATAAAGCATGTATGAACCAAGCACATATCATATGCTTATGCAGCATAAGACTATTTCCTAGTTGCTATACCTGAGTATAGTAAGTCTTAAAATTGTGGTGTGACATTGAAATGACAAATAGTCACACTGAGCATTTATCTTGGGGGAAAAAAAAAAACAAACCCAAACCCAAACCAAACCAACCTGATTTCTGTCCAAATAATAATTTTACTTTGAAGCTAGTAGTTAAAAAAGAGACTGGGAGATGCAAAGCTTTTTGGAACAGAGCATTTTACTTTGTATCTCCATGCTGGAAGGAACGTTGAAGGCACAAGTCATAGATGTTGTGAAGAAAGCTACTGGACTTGGAACAAGGTTAACACAGTTCGTAAGTCAGTTTTGAGTACTGACTTGTTCCTCTTGAATACAGGCTAACTACTTCTTGCAGAATGAAAGCAATAACTTTTTCATCTCTAAACCCCTGCCTGAGAAACTAGGTGATACCAGCTATGTCTCTTCTATAAATAAACTTACCTGCTGATGGGACAAAAGAAACCGTTGTTATCATTGACAAATTCTGATCTTTATGACTTAAGGATCTCATGCTGAGCATGCTACTCAGCAGACCGGAGTAGAAAGGATAATCCTGAACTATATACCATACCTTTAGCCATTCCTCAGCTACAAGATTCAGTTTGATGCAGCTCGACACTGAAGGCTGAATTAAGCAAAAGTTTTAACTCAGCTGTCCAGAACTGGTGGTGAGACATTCATTCAGCACGCTAAGTTTATATGTTTTAAGCATTCCTTTCTCCGGATGCATCTAGGACTGCTGATGAGTTCCTAAGAAGCACGATTCTGCAATATCACTAACATCAAGATGGGCAATAAAATATCTAGTATTTATGATAAACTAGAATGAATGAATTGCTTAGCGACATCTGCTATGAATTTGGTCACAACAGAAAATCTTTTATAGAAGAAAAAAACAAAATACTTGAGTACTGAGGAAATTATGTGCTTAATTCAGTTTTCATTGCTTTGCATTCATCTTAAAGGGAGAAAAAACAGGTCAGTGAGTGAACAGAAACTTCAGGTGTTCAGCATGAGCTGGCAGAAACTTCTCTGAAGAGAAACAAAACTGGCAGGTATAAGGCACAACTCCTTGGTGTACCAACACCATTGTAAATATGCATGCAAATAAATGATTCCATGCACCAGGGATGAAATCCTATACCCAAGGAAAGCAACAGTCATACTTCCATTTCATTCAATGAGGCCAGGAAATAATCCAAGTAATATGCAAAACTGTAGGGACACCACTGTACCAGAGGGACTACCTCCCAAATATGTAACTATTCCAATTCATACTAGGTGAGAATCTGGTACTTATTATAAAGTTTCACTTTAGACTTGAGATTGGTTACTTATCTGCAATGGTAGAACAGAAACACTCACTTTTTTAATGGATTTTTACGGAAAGTAATTGGTTTAGGAAATAGAAATAAAGAACAATAAATGCAGCTCACCAGTATCCCAAGTGCTGATATTGTGGGGAGCACTAGACTGGTGTTCCAGCTGCCTCTTCATTAGCTGGTTCATTGTCAGAGCTCCCAAAGAGCCTCTTTTCATTTGTCTGAACTGAGCTGCAAGTCAGAAATGCAAAAGGATTTCAGGGGCTCAGACAACATGTAAAACTACTCTTATTTCCTGATCTTACAAGCCAGCATGAGATAAATACTGAAAGGGCAATGACTGCTTCCTCTAAGAGTCTTGCTCAAGTCAGTATGCACTTTTCACACAACTACACAGGGTACCTGGCCCCAATGACATTAGTCATAAGTGACTTACATTCAGGATCTCATCCATTGTGTCAACTGTCAGTGCCAAAACACCCGGTATCTCTGAAGTGTAAGATACTACCCCAAAATTCCCAGGCTGACAGGTGATAAATGTATACATGAATGTCACTCACATAGGACATACCGAGGAAGGAAACTCAGCCTCTTCCCAGCAAAGTACGGAGGACTGCTCTGTTGATGCTCACCATAGGAAAGCAAGTTCGCTGACTGTACCACCAGCACCCTTCATGGGTGACACAACCTGAACAGGCCTCCTAAATACCCATCACTCAGGCATAACATTTGCACATTCTTCTGAAGTGTGAAGCCAGCATGCCTTTGAACACGGACCCCTTTTGTAACTTCACCGCCATTCTTCTTACAGGGAGCTATCGAGCAACAAGCATTCTAATTTTCCTCATCCGACTATTTACAATACTTCTTTAAATGGATATTACTGTTTGCTTTAAGAGATGTCTCACTGGATAATGCTCCCACACACACCAAAAAAAAAAACAATTGTGGATTTAAAATTTAAGATTTTTTTGGTCACGTACTTGAGAAAACATATGATTTTTTACACACTGAGAAGTGCCTAAATGGAGGAAGAAACAGATCATATACCACTCCTGACTTTCTTACTTTTTTTCCATTCATAAGAAAATTCAAATTGAACAAGCATAATAAAATCACTTTGACAGTTGTATTTCCACCACTGAAACAAAAAAAATCATTCTTCACAGTATGAAGACAGAATCTTAAGGCCCTACTTGAACAAGTCATGGGAGACTGCACCCTGAAATTATTTTATTAGGTGAAGTATTTTAAGTTTTCCCTCATTATATCCTTTCAATGTATCAGAGTGCATTTAAGCGCTACTTTTGGTCCAAGTACAAACTTCTCCAGCACTGCTGCAAAGCAGTCCTTGTATAACTGAACTTCTGGAACTGAACCAGACCAAGAGACCATTCCATGTTTCACTTTTTAAAGTTACATTGCAGCTGCCTTTCACAGCAAATTAGGAGAAAAATAGAATTTCCATCGTTTCCAGGGCAAGAATTTTAAATAGATGCTTTATCACTTTATCAAGCATAGAATTTCCTGATGAAAGAACAGCAATTAACATTAGAAGTGACAAGACTGCTTGGAGTGCAGATGACTGTCAAATATAGAAAATTATCTCTTTGAATTTTCTTAACAGCTTTTGCGATTGTAATTAAAAAAATTTCACGCATATTTCACATAATCAGGCTATTGTTGAGCAGGTTTGGATTTCCAGGGTTATTTACCTGATTTCTCAAGGACAGCCATGATTTCAAATATTGGTAAGTTAAGGAAAAAAAAACCCAAAACCTAAAAAAACAAAGAACCCAGAGAGCTGCCAGCCTTTGAACAGTGCTGGAGCCAGACTCATTGCTGTGGACCAGCACATGACTTTCACGCCTACCACTGACTAGTGGCATAGGGAGGGAAGTTTTCCTTGATCAGGTTTTCTACAAGAAACGTAACAATCATGAGAAGATCAGTAACCTTCACATAGTAGCCAGTGAGCCTTTCATATGTGAGCTAGTGATTTGGTCCATCAACCCTCCATTGCTGTGGAATTCTCTACTCAAGAAGAGAAGTCCAAAGGCAAAATCTTCCTATCACAGTTAATGATGTATGCTTTCTGCAGGCAGGCACTGGCTGTACAAGTAATGCTATCTATTTGTGTTACAGACGTGCCTTGTGCTCACAGTCCTGATCGGGGCTTATTACGCAAATCACTGTTAAGATGCACGGTAGAATGTCAAATACATTTCAGTCTAAATGGACAGGAGACACAATGGAAGCATTCATCTCCCTTTCTGCAGTTGGAAACTGAGGCACACAGAAAGAGAAAGAAAGAAGTTCCTATGTACAAAGGAATGTAGGCTTAATATCATATAGATACTATTCCTGATTTCATATACTGGAATTTATAGGAACACCTAGCACTCAGTGAAACCAGAGATATGTCTTAACTGGCATCTGTTTAGCTGCTTTAGTAAGCAACATCTGTATCATTAGGTGTCCAACAAATGTACTCTGACTACAAGACGCGCATGACATGAGACGCTTGTGGTAAAACTGGAGAGGAAACCTCTAATTTGGAGTACTCACCTAGCACATCTAACGTAACATCTTCCTTTAGTAGGCCAGACACCCCTTTCTATCAAATCAGCAAATGTTGAATTTCAGAAATTAAAATTTCACTTTTTCACAGCAATCTGAAATTGAGGTTCAGGAAGACGGTTGAGCTGATCTAGCAGCTCGCTGGTATCACAGCAGGTCATCATTTCCCCTCCCTTTTCTACCAATCACAGCCCTGCCCTGTCAAGCTTCGGATGTGTTACTTAACATTCCTAGCTGGATGTGCCATTCTAGATTTTGTTAGTGTTTGCTTTCCATTGAAACGGGTCTCAGATAAACATTTACTGCATTTCAGCAAGCAGCTGAGGAAGTGATGTTTCAATGTATTTTACAAAAATTGCAAGAGATCTTGTCCCTAAGGTACAGCAAGAAGTGTACAGAAGACCATTGTAACAGCCCTGTGGAGCTCTCATCCTCTGCTTCTGTGCACTGACAGCTGACAAAGTTTTCTGTCACTGGAAAATAAACATTCGGCTTTGTGAAATACTGCTTTTGGCTGCTACCTACTCTAATTCAAGAAAAACACATTTGTCAAATCTTGCACCCACTAATTGCTAAAATCCTGGTGACCATCAGAGATTTAACAGATCTAATGATATCCAACACAGCTGTACTTCCAAGAATCAATGAAACTCAGGGGAAGGCATTTACCATACATGATACGCATCTGACACACAAATACGGCAGATTAGATTTAATCCTCAAACCAGAGGTAAACTTACTTGATATGGAAGAGTGACTACTTGTCTCCGGGACACCTGCTTCAAGGGTCGGTGCAGATGATGACTCTCTTGGCATTTCCAGTGTTGAAAGTCCTTTGGCAGCAGGATCTGCATAAGAAAATTGTGCTTAAACTCTCAGTATTTAGAATCAATAAATATTTTCCATCCGCTTTCCCCCTGGATGCCTTTTTCACATCTTTTCACTCATCCGTTCCCCATCTGGCATTCCCAGCAGTTTTAAAAGGATTTAGTGTGTGTTTTGTAAGAATTTTTATAGAGGCACTGGTATCTGCTGCTTAAAATCACTTTTCAAAGGAGGTTTGATTTTGATCCCACTCAGAGATCAGAACCACCAATGTGGAAATAAGAGAGGCACACTGAGATAAAGCTAGTTTAACTGACAGCTTCACGTCTTTTAAAAGCCTTATCTCCAACATGCTAGCAATTTTCATTCAAAAGGCTGCTGATCTAGCAGTTGATCCTAAAGATTCAAAGAGTTTACAATTCTACTGTTAAAAAGAAAAATAAGCCCTTAAACTTAATGGTTTTATTTTATGATAAGTGATACTGTCAATATGGGAAGAATAAAGGAAAAAAAATTCTCAAGTGTCGACGGCTGGTTTCAGCTTATCCTATAAAAATGGATATGTATCTCTGCTGTAAAAAGTCTCAGGTGGGAAACTGTGGCCCAGCATTGTGCACTTGAAGAAACAACCGCTTTAGATATTTAATTCAGAGATCAATTCTATCAGAAGCCCTTCCAAAACACGTGGAAGTATAACAGGCTGACAAAGCTTGAGTATGACTTTGAAATTATAATCAGCCCATTATGATGGCGAAATTAAGCCTACTTAAATGAATTACAACACATATGTTCTCAAATAAACTAATCAATAAGGCTAAACAAAGCAAAACAGAACATAAGAGACACATTAAACTACCCAAGTCACTAAATTACCTAGTTATCTGAATTGCCTGTATCAACCTCTAATGTAAGTGAGCACCTAATGAGTCATTGTGAATGTTTTATGCCCCCCCTTAGATGACATACGTAGATGCATGCAACCAAATGACCATCAATATATGCCATAATCCTCGGTTCCACATGGTGTTTCAGAACTGGGACAGCCCTTCCAAGCAGTTTCAAGGATGACAGTGTTAGTTACTGCAGGAAAACTGCCCTTTCCTAATGATCAAAAAAGCATCTGAGTCTAACTGCACAATTCTTTCGTGACCATTCTTCTCTAAGAACCTATATGAAAGGTTCAAAAAGCACTCAGCTCTCTTCTGTTTTTACAAAGCTCCAGTGGTTCTTCAACTTACAGGAACCATAAATAGGACGATAGGCCTGAAACATAAAGGGAACAGAGTAACTATGATCACACTGAATGATTTCTCCTTGTAAAAGTGGAATAACATAATACGAAAGTATACTATGGTTCCATCTGAAGCAGTTAAGAAAAGTGAGGTCAGGAATGCATAAATATTCCCCATCACTTCACTGGCAACAAAGAACTGAGGCCTGAAGGATTCTTCCCTTCTTTAATTAATATGTTAAAAAAAGAGTGGTAGAATTCTAATAACTGTAAAATCCTGGGGAAAAAAGAAAAAACAGCCACAGAAGTAAAGAGGCAGCAGCACAGTTTTTAAAACTGTTTGACACATCCAACTGGAAACTGAGGAAACAGCTAAAACACACTTTCTCTCTACCTGAAAAACTTCGTAAACAAACCCTGTGTTAAAATGACCTGAAAAAGCTAGGGATACACAGAAACACTGTACAGCTTTTCCCATGCTTGAACTTCAAATCTTTAACAAACACAAGCTGTGTAAACTTTGTGGATACCCAATATAAAGAAGGCTACAAAAAGCTTTTTTGTGCATAAAAGTAAAATACATGTGTATGTCTGATCCAAAACGCAAACTATACTTAATTCCAAGTGCTCTTGGTTCTAAAGCCTACAGCCTGCTCAGCCTTGCGCTTCGTGATCCACTCTGCTTTCCATTGCCTTACACTTGCAGAAGAAAAAGGCCAAAAATCCCTACAAACAAAAGAGAATCGGTGTAGCGTGGACTGCGTTAGCAGGATAAAAGGCACAGAAGTATGACAATTTTTCTGACTCCCTGCATAAAGAGGCCATGGAGTTTCGTTCCCGAACTTGGATATCAGAAGCGATATTTTTGTTACTGAGCTCCACTTCCTTTTCAAACGGGCCCTCACACACGCACAATACCTGCACGGTCAGTACATCCCTCGTGAGAAACAAACACCTGAAAGCGTTCAGCTAGCTCAGACCACATCAGGTGCTATATATACACGTCTCTCCCTATATGTATGCACATCTCTCCTTACACTGGCCTGTTACCAAGACCTTCACGCAGTAATAAGCCTTTTGATTGGGTCAGTGATTGAGCTCACCTGCCTCCTTCTGCTCTCCCAGCTTGTCGAGGATGTTAAAGGAAATGTCCAGGTATTCTCTCTGAATAGCACTCACAGCAATCTTCCTCTGCTTCCTCTGGCGAGGAACAATCTGAATCTTAAATTCCGACTCCTCAGTCTCCTCTTCTTGTTTCTGCTCCGTGTTTTGTTCAGTGTCAGACTCTGTGTTGGTATCAAGTTTATCACTTTCTGTTTGGTTTTCAGAATCTTCGGGGACTTTAATCAGGACTGTCTTTACATTTGGGCTTGGAATTGTTCCACTGGGTCTAATTTCCTCCACGCTGATCTCGGAGCTATCATCAAGGGACATTTCTGGAAGGGCAAATGACTTCTGCAGCAGGTCCCGTTTCTGTTTCAGTGTTAGTGGGTTCCCAGAGGACACGTCCTGAAGTTCTTCTAACTTAACTAACTCTGAAGAGCCCTTTTGATCTTTGGGAGAAGTAGAAAGGATCTCATCTATTCCCGCTGAAGCATTGTTGCTCGAATCCTTAGAACTAAAGTCTTTGGAGCAATCTTCAATGCTGAACTGGACCAGTGGAGTTGTGCTGAGGCTGAGTGCAGAGACATTGATAGGAGTTGAGGGAGATGAAGCAGCAGTTTTGCCGGAGACCTCATCATTCAGCGGGTTTGTTGTTTCTTCTTCTTCATCACTCTCCACTATTCTAAGGGGAGGAAGTGGTTCAAAGACTAAAGAGTCACTGTCTGAAGTGGAGAGTACTGAATGCTTTTCAGGACCCGATGTTGAGTCAGAGGACAAATCTATCAGATCTAAATCTTCCTTGGGACCAGCAGGTTTAACCGGAGAGTCCACTTTCACGTCATAGGTTTCCATGCAGTTTAGCCTAACTTCTGGTATGACAGGTCTTCTCGTTTCCTGGAAACTCTCTGTATGAGGAAGATTTTCTTGTGTTTCTATATTTTCAGCTTTAGTAGATGAATTCTGCCGAGATCGTCCATAATCACTCTGCCTGTGTATGGCGTAAGCAGCAGGGACAGGTGGTTTTTCTAAGTCACACCGGTCTATGCAGGACTTCCTGCGATGCTCATCTAATGAAAACAACAGGGAGTCTGCATTCCCTATATCAAGAGATTTTTGTTTTAGAGAGCGCAGTTTTTTTTTCTGAATGCTTTCTTCTCTCACACAGCGTAGAATACTGTCTTGTAAGGCCCCCGTCTCTCTATATTCAGCCAGCTCTATTTCACCTGATTAAAACAGAAAGAGCTAATACTACCTCAGTTGGAGACTTCTGGCAGACATCTTCATCTTTATCTCACCATTGAACATGACTGGCAGTTCAAATACAAACCCAGCATTAGTCAAAATTGTCCCAATTTTGTTGCAACCTCAGAGCCACATTACATAGTCTTTTACAATGAACAACAACAAAAAACCCCGCTATTTGGATAACAGGGTTTATCTAAATTCTGTCCAAGTTCTACTCATCTTGGACAGATGTACCCTGAAGACAGACTGTTTAACTTTATGCATTGAAAAGAAGATGGCACAGGCAAGTAATTCCTACAGACACTTTCAATGGCTGCATTAGGCATGAGAGATGAAAAAATGAGCTACACAGATCATTCTTGAAGAGGTTTCCAAATGATGTGGGCATCATTTGGATATCAGCATATATCAGAGTACCCCTACATGTTATTTACTGCAGCAAAGTGGGCTTAAAATGGATGCTTCTAATCCAAGAAGCAAGGGTAGCAAGAGCAGTGAAGATGTGGCAGCATAATCACGAGATCAGACAGGTGTTCAGAGAATTTTTCCCCCAGTTATCCTCAACCCCAGCAGAGTCTTGCAACTATCCCCCCACATAGTCATACCCCCCCGTCCCAGGGAGGAGGGAAGTGAGCACAGTCATACTTGCTGGTTCTACCACTGCACTGGTATTTTGCTACCTGAACACATTCATTGAGAACATTTTTAAAGGTTATCCCTGTTGTTATTACAAATGACATATTTTCACATAAAACCAGAATATTCATTATTATTATTATTAACCCCGTATTTCAAAATGCTCTGCATATGAATCACCATGCAAAAAAAGCAGTGAGAAAAGTTAAAGTAGATGTTTGCTCTAGTCAGAATCATTCCCCTCTCCCCATGCCAAAACCTGAAATAAAAAAAAAGGCAGGTGGGTGGTGGTGGAAATCTCTTCAAATTTTTTTTCTTTTTAGGGTATTAATTTCAGAAGCCTAAATTTGAAAACAAAATCCTTCCTATTTTTTGAAGCCACCAAATAACCCTTTTTACCAATGGAAAACTGTAATATTTGCAGCAGCAACCACAAATTTGCTTACCCTGGAGTCCCACCTCATGAAAAAAGTCCATTTCTGGGAAAAAATAAATTTGAGTAAAAATCTTCAGCCCAATGGTGGAAGAAAATTGCAACAAATCCTCTTAAACATTTTTACGTTCAAAGAGCTTAAAGTTTCAGAAAACAACTGCTGACTTTATGTATTTTTATGTTGGAGTGCCTATTTTGAGATTCCTGTAACAGAATTCATTCAGGGAAATGAGGAGTACGTGCTCTCAAAAGTCAGAGAGCTTCTATGCAAATTAAGCAGTGCAACAAACTCTATGAAGAAAGGTGGTAGCTTGAAACTAAGAGTAGGAAATTGTATTTCTGCATGAGTTTATACCGACAAAACAATTCATACTTCTCTGAGCATTCATCTCAACTGGTTGATATTTCACCATTTTGCTGCCACCAATTCTTTTCAGTCTTGCAAAGAAAGTTTGAGATTCTTTATTGCAAGGTCCAGTTGGTGTATCATGAATATCAGATTCATCAAAAACACTGTCTTCCTCTGCTGGAGAAAGAAAAAACTTTATTACTCTTAAGAGAGTGCAATTCCTTGAATGAAAAGCTGTCTATGTAACAAAACCTCAGCTAGTTTCAATTAAACCTGAATTGGAAAATGAAGAATCATCTGAAGTTTGCAAGAAAATTTATATCCCAGGTATAACTGCCATTCTTGTTACATCTTGAACTAAGGTCAGAAAGGACAGAGATAAATGAAAAATGGGTTACAATGCAACAAAAGTATACTAAAGCTTTTACCATTCTAAGCTGATCTTTTCTATCTTTTTCTGATAACAATACAGATTCTTTAGACGAAAGACATACAACAGATCTGAACACTGGCTTCAGTAAATAACTTCTGTGGTGCTCCATGAGAGCAAAATTGAAGAAAGTCGAAATTAGTACAAGAACTGCAAGGTCAGTAATAAACCAGCCAAATAGGAAAGTGAAAAAGAACAAATGGATAATCTTGGCAAGCTGGTAATAGTAATAGAATAAGACCTACAAGTATGAATTATGAGATTACTGATCTAAGTCCTAACAGTAAAACACTATGCTCTAATTTGAGATCTGCTGGTTTTAAATGGCAGAGAGAAAGAAAGATCAAAATCTATTTATCCATCAAAAAATAACCACATCACCTGTATGAAATGGCTATAAAAAAGAAATAAAAAAAGGAAAAATCCGTATCTATCATGTATCTCCATATCCATATCTATCCATGTCTATCATGTTCATCTCCAAAGAAATAAGAAACACTACTGGGACGATAAAGAAAACAAAGCATTCAAGAGAAGAGTTTATTCTAGTAAGCAAACATGGAGAGGAAATGCATTTGGTGTCTAGGAGTGAAGAGGCAAGTAAGCCAAAACCTGAAGACTTAAACTGGACATTAATACCTTTAGCTTTGAAATTGCTGGAAAGTTTTTACTGCATGTGAAGCTATGGAACTCCCACCTAAAAGCACCGGGGATAAGATATCTAATTGATATGACGAATCCAGAAAAATCAAAGTTGATAGTAAGAATTGCTACAGGGACTGGATATAATAAGTTAGGAGATAATTTTAACATCATGTCCCGTATTTCGTCGTCTTCTGCTTGGCAACAAATGCTTCTTCTCACAAGATATACCATCAGCTCTACAACAGTCTGTACACTTGCCACTATCCCCAGAAAAAAGTTTGACAAAAAAATTAGGAAAAAGGTTGAATGGTGGGAATAATCAATCTTTAACATACGTATTCTTGTTGCCCGACAATGAAATCCGCATCTGTTGATGATCTAAACACTGCCTTTCACGATGACAGCAGTGCACATAGTGCCTGACCAGAGACTAAAGAAGCCTCCTTAGAAATGGTGGGAAAGGCTTCAACTTTCCAAGTCCCTATGGAATTATACTGGCTGCTGCTTGCAGGTGGAAGAAAAGTCTTCTACATCCTCTTTTTTTCTGCAGCACTTCAGCAAGGGAGAAGAATCAGCCCTGCGATCAGTCAGTGTTTACAGAGTACAATTTGCCCATTTATGGTCCTTTACCTCTGAGCTGACCAAAGCCCTTCACAACAGCTTTGGAAAGCGAGTAAATATTATTCTTCTTACTTTGAACATAGGGAAACAATGATGAAGTGAGACACAAGGACACCCAGAGAATCCATGTTGGACATGGGGTTGGAATATTGAGTTTTCTAAACCTTACTTGGCACTTACTGTGAACCGCAAGCTGGGTACTTAGGCACCTCACTTTGTCTTAGAAACGTCTCAGAATCAATCCAGGAGCTGAATGCGTTTCATAAAGGTATTATTACTAACCTCAGCATTATTAAGTCATCATGAATTAAGTCATTAACTCAGCTCAAAACAAAGACAAATTCATAGTCAGTCCACAGTTACCTGAACACTCTTAGCCCTCCTCTAGCAATACAAAATGTCCAAGTAAGTGAGAATATGCCATACATCATTTACATCCACTTTAAGGTTGCTTTAATTTGCTAGAGCTAAGTAATAGGGTGTTCAGGTAAACGAAGTTTTATGTCCTTGTTCTGCTGGATATCTTTTCATGAGCAACAAGCAGCAAAAGAGGAAAAGGTACTGACATGCGTAAAAGAGTGCTGCTTGTCTTCTTCTTCAGAAGTTTGCTGCACACTAGGAAGACTGTTTGAGAAGGCAGATGTAAATAGCAAATAAGCAGCTAAAAGGCAAACTAGCTGAAAGGCAGCTACAGGTTAACATCAAAAGAACCTGTTAAACTTCACAACTGTAAGGAACTACGCTCAGTGACACCACGTTATTTCAAGTGCCAGCCTTACACCAGTTCACACCATCACAGTACCTCTGCTACAGCTAGCAAACATACAGAGTCAACAATCGGATGCAGATGCTAAGGGTTGCACCATTTCTCTTCTACGTTTAGACATCCACGTCATATACGTCTCCATGTAAGCTAGTCAACTTCAGCTCCTTTGACAGAGAAAAGCAAACTATATACTGAATTCATCATTTTTTCTTTTCAACATCAAATATTTGCTACTATGCCGTGGTATTAAAAAAGTATAATCAGAATGTGGTGTCAGGTTTGTGTGTGGGCATGATCAACTACTACTGTTATAGAAAAGGCCAAGAACTAGCCAGGCATGGTGACTGAACTACTAAGTCTAAGGTAAATTCCCTCCAAGAGATGTTATACTGCTGTGCTATGCTGGGCCTACAGAGAAATCGTGAATTTCTTTTACTATAGATGGCTATAGCTGGTCAGATAAGTCACACCTCAGACTTAATTTTGCTTATTGTGTTCTAAAATACAGACCATATTTACCCACTTCTACAACATCTGCAAGACTTCATTAATTAAATCAATGACTATCATACAAATGAGAGTGTTAAAAGTACCTTTCTCCTTTTCACTGTATCGGCTTATGTTACTGTTGTCACTATACAAAGGACCAGCAGTTGCATGGGGCTTGCAGCTGTGATACTGAGCGTTGAGGGTATTGACTGTGATGTGGATTAGGTGAAGTACAATCTTGCTGATTTCACAGTCTCTGTAGGGGTACTGTTCAGTGAAAGAGAAAAACTTCAGCTTAAAAATTAACTTTTCTCCTTGGATAATCATTTAGGTGGCAAAATAGAAAAATGACAAGAACACTGTCAGCTGGATGCCCTTTGCCTTCCTTTGATCACACATTTCTAAATACATCACGAGAAGCAGGACTGTTTTCAGCTTTGTACACAGAATTATATATTAAAAAATTAAAAATCCTTATTAGTAACATTTAATATATTGTTTTCTTGACTTTTATATGACAAAAGCAACTATTAATAATAATGCAAAAGGTCTCTCATCAGAATTGTTCTCCAAATACTATATTTCAATCACCACGTTATCATTCATTTTGCGTGTCCCCACTTCCCTGTATGCCCTACAGACCTGCTAGAAATTTGTTAAGCATATCAAAAGTATTCACAGGTCCATTTCAGTGCATAAACATATTACATTTTAACAACACCTCCTAAAAAGCATCACTTAAGTAAAGAATACAAGTTGTTAAGCTGACCCCCCATGGAAACTACTTTTTTTTTTTTTAAAGAACTAATTTTAAGTTATTCAAAATACTCTTCATTGGAACTTTATACAGCATTTTCCTATTTTCAAATCCATATTTCCCTTTCTCAGGTAACCATGTGAAAGGCAATATAGACAGCAGAAGTAATAGGTCAGCAAAACAGATGAAAGCCTAACTACTTTGGACACTGAAATTAAACGCAGTGAGTAAGCAAGTCAAAGAAAAGTGTTCTTTACAGTTCCTTTCACTTGCAGTACAGTTAGGTGGTCCATGTAATAAATTTCAAATTGAAGTGTAAATTTAATGTGGACAGCACCTTTTTAAGACCACTTACCTTGTAGAGAATGACAAGCAAAGCCTTTAACCACATCTGCCGAATGTGAGGTTTGAGGGACCAGAGGGAGCAGCGAGGAGGCTGCTGAAAGTAATGCCTTAGCTGAGGACAAGAGCAATATTTCAACACCTGCACCACCAAGGGAAGAAGGTGTTTTCCCAGGTTGATGTTATAATCCATCACCTGAAAAGGATATTAGCACAGGAGTCAGCTCACCAAAATCAAATCCACTGATGTTGAAAAGCAAAATAACTAATACAGTTGAGGTATTAGTTAAGTGAAAAGAAACAGACATTTTTATGGAAGTCTAACTATCAATTAGAAACTTTCTGCCAGCTTGCCACATTCTCATTTTAGCTAGACAGGTAAAATGAAACAAAAGAAGATGTGTTCTGAAAGCCTTTCATCCTGCACAGTCTAAATTTTAACATACATTGGCAAGTTAGTAGAATATATTATGCTGGGCTAGCCTTGTATTATAGCACAAGTTGATGACACGTCAAGAGACAAAACCATATTAGGTATATCCCATGTTTAACAGATAGGATACAATCATAGGTTTTGAGAGAGGGGGTTGTGTATTTGGATTATTTGGGATTTTTGTGTTAACACTTCATTGACAGTTTTCATTATTTTCTCATCAGACTTGCAACATTAGCTGCTAGGTGTTTTTAAGCCCCATGTTCTGGAATGAGGTAATGAGACAAGAAGCCCACTCTCCACTACGGCAAAGGTAAGAGTGTGTCTGCAATGTTACGCAGAACGTCTAAGCATACAAATCCTAAAGTACCCAAGAATAAAGCTAATGAAAAATATTATCTTACTCTAAATAAAATGCTCATCAATTTTAAATCGTGATGTTTCTGGAGACACGTTGCTGTTATCACTGCTAGTCATAAGCCTTGCCTCCATTGCGACCTCATTTGAAGAGCACCATGCTGTTTGGCACCTATCCTAGAGGTTTGGATCCCGATGGTGAGGTGCAGCGTGGCCATATATTCCCACTACCCTGACACAACTGCGGTTTCGATTGAAACTGCATTGCTGTTTTTCATTATCTCCTCATCAGTCTTGCAACATTAACTGTTTTTATTTAAAGACGTATGTCCTGGAATCAGCAGCTAAACAAGATCACAACAAGGATCCACAAAGCCCTTGTCTCTGACGCTAACCTGTACTGGTTGACACCCAGGAAGGTATAAGAGCAGGTCAAGGAAACTCCAGCACAGCCCCCAAGATCTAACAAGACCCTCCAGTTTCGGTGAGCTTAGTGTGCTTTATCAGGAGCCCCGTACATCTAAACGGACACAAACATCAGTTTCATCCACATCACCCATTTCCTCCAGGTCTGTATTTCTTTTTTTTTTTTTGTTTTGTTTTGTTTTTATTAGAATAGGGGGATGAGCCTTATTTACAAACACAGAACTCGTCTCAAGTTGCCTCCTCAACAAGCTGACTAGAAGTTTTTCCCTGTAAAATTCTCTAGTTCGATGTGCAGCTGTCGCAATTTTTTGTGCTGCATGCATAGAGCTAAATAAACGAATCTCATGTCTACCCATGTAGGGTTGGCCTGGTGAACGGATGATATATAATCACCAAATATGGTCCTACGCTGCAACGCTGTGTACCCTCAGGGTGCGATACTGCGATATAGCATGGTTAGGAAAAACTCATCCGTACAAAGAAGACAGAGCCCTGCCTTAACACAGCACGTATTGTAATGCAGACATGTCTTAAGCTGAGCAGACCCATTTTTTATGTTGTCACAGGAAGATCTGGAAAAAGTGATGTTGCAAATGCCGAGCAGAGCTCAGCCTGGGATGCTGAGCAGAGCCAGGCACTGCTGGCCTCCCCGCTCCCACAGGATTGTACAACATTGCCACCATGCGGGGCAATACCGCGCTGACTGCAAACACCAAAACTTGGCCTCTTCTGCTGCTAGGGAGAGAAAAAGGCATTTCATGCTTTCAAGAATTCCATATACACAGATTTTATGATGAAAAATACTAAGAGATGTTTGATTATTTTTTTTTTCTTGAACTGACCATTCCAATCAAGCTTGGAATTAAAATCAACGAAACAGCAAGTCAGCACAATCCCAACCTTTGTGGAACTGATTGGAGAAAGTAAATATTTATGACTTGGGGGGGGGGGGGCAAAGTGTAACTGAAATAGATCTCTTAGAGCTCCACTGTGAGTTTTCACTCTGTAAATGCATCTTGGGATTACAAATAGCATTTCTCTTGCAGCAAAGGCAACTCCCAACACAAAGCAGCCCTACAGCTAAGAAAAAGAATCTCCCCCAAAAAAATCTAATTTAAAGTTTTGATGTCTGCTACATGGAGAAAAATCCTGGCCTACTGAAGTTCTCAAACTCCATTTGATGTCAGGGGAGCCAGGATCCAACTACAAAACTTTTCTAACAGAAATGGTGGATTCAGCTATTATGAGACATTTTAAAAGTCAAAGAGGAAAGGCAGGGGCTGATATTTAGACCTGCAGTTAAGGAGTACTTCTGAAACTGAAGTTTGGTAATCCAAACTTGGAAACATGTAGAAAAACGTGGAAGTTACTGCGCTGTGATCTAAACTGCCACTTCCAGACTCTCAGACCTGAATCTCATTTTACACGCTTCAGCTTAAAAGTGTACAAGTGAAAGATGATTAACAACATGGAGCAATGGTGCTCCAAGACAATGGATCAGGATGCATTTGTAGCTACCCAGTTTAGATTAACACCTTCTATTTTGCCTGCTGAAACAGAGACACCTGACTTCTCCATGACTGAAAGTTTACCGAGGTGTCTACATTCCAACCGACTTCGAAAAATCACTGATTCTAATGTATGCACCAAAAAATCCTGATAAAAATTGCAGACACAGAGGAGGCCGGGATAGCTTTGAGCAATGTTTGAAGGTTACAGCAAGCATTTTAAGAACTAGGGCAGGGGGAGATCTGAAATCACGGCCCTCTCTCTCCCCTAAGGTAATCCTTTATGAGACTGTGATAAGGAAAAAGTGTGGAAATGATGATAACGTTTCGTTGCAAATAAGAAGAATGATCTGCAAGTGTGAAATGTTTTTCAGCCTAGCATCGCCAACCGCTCTATCAGTAAGAATTAATTGAGCCTTAGAAGAGCCTTGAGGTAGGAAATTACTGTCTTCCTTACAAGATGGAGAAAGAGGGCACAAGGCAAGGATGTGCTCAGTCGTTTATCATAGCAATATAGGCAGAAGTTTATCGCGGCGGCACCACTCCCTAGGAAAGGGAGAACAGAAAGTCCTGGTGCACTCTAAGGAAGGAGGAGAATGAGTCTCCTGAACATTGAAGAATGTCGAAGAGTTTACAGACCATTCATGCAGGGAAACAATCAAGAGCACATGGGTCCCAGGTCTCCCTGAATGGAAAAGGAGGAAACGTCACATGAGGAAAGTAAGGCATTCAAAGACTAGCAAAAGAAGGTGAAGACGTTTGGAGCAGTCTCTAATTTTTCATACAGTGGTAGTATTTGTGTGCCTTCACACACACAAAATCGTTACCTCTATGCCAATGATGCAGCAAGTTTAGAGTACTCGTAGGAAGCTATAAATTAGCATACTTCTATTTACCTATTTACTTTTTAACTGCAAAGCAAAAATCTACAGAAAGTACTTGATTCAGCTACACAGAGCCTTCTGAGAGTAAAGAAGAAGCAGCCATCCTTTTTTGCAAATTCTTTCACCAACTGAAGAAGTGTTCGGAAGTTTTAAGTAGAATTACCACATTCAACCACTATTTTGGTACAAAGAAGGCTGTGCTACCACCATGTCAACAACAGGCAATGAGAAATAACTGCAAAAAGTAGTAAGTGCCTTCACCTACTTGTGCTATTCCAGCAATAAAGGCATTAAAGCAGGTCGAAACACGCATTTTCTGTGGTGCAATCATGAAGCATCCTTCCTGCTGATCATAACCAAGCAGGACATACAGATGGCGCTTGACTGTGTTGAAAGCTTTAGCACTGCTGATGTCCGACTCAGCGCTGCTCTCATCCTTTGCCATGAACTTCATTAGCACAGTAATCAGCTGGTGGACAGTCTGGTGATCAATCCCAGCATCTTCTGGCAGCAGGTCTTTTATTGTGTTATCATTCTCTGGGGAGGGTTGTCCTATTAGCACAAGAAAGATATTGGTATCAGACACTGGATAAGACTGTAAACAGGGTACAGAATGCACAACAATATTTTTCCATTGTGCATACTGAACTCCATTTTTCAGCTTTCCCATGTTTAACTGAGGTGCTTAACTTCCCATCCCAGTGCATTTCTGCCAAATTTGAGTGGTGTTATTCCTTCACATCTATGCACTAAAGGAGAATCAAATCCCACCCCCACCAAATTCTCATCTGGCATAGTTTTCAGTCTTTCCTCAGCAAAAGTGGATATTAGTCTTTGCCAGTGAAGGATGTGCAAAACAGCAAAGGTAGGAGATGGAGAAAATTCTACCAGATACTGCTAAAACAAAGAATGAAGACTTACTCTTTTTGCATTGAGTCCATATTCCCCCTCAAACAACTGGGGCCAAAATGTAGGTACTATAATTTATCAGTGTTTTGGACGCTATGTATTATGTCAAAACTTTGATGACTTTTGCCAGAGGAGAAGCCTAAGACTTGGGTTTATAAACACTGAACGGAAATAATACTACTTTGCTTGGGCACACGATCACGTGGAAGGCGAGAGGCTACTCCCAAAGCACAAGGAAGCCTGGGTGCCGGCTGTCACTATCCAAGCAAAACAGACACACTGCAAATAACATTGCCAACGGGGCAAGTACTTTCATCTTCATACTTGAATATCTTTTTCAAACACTGTATTTCCAGTTACTTTTAAGTCCGTTTATCATTACCAGAACTCTCTAGTAATTGCCTTTGGAGATATCCTCTTCCATTTCATACTATTTGTAAGGCACTTTTTTAGTGCTTAGCAGTTCCTAAAGATCTAGGTTATCGAACACTAGGAACTGCATTCATGATAAGCAGCAGCTATTTCACACATCAGTATATCAGATTCTTTTTATTAAATCATTCCGAATAAATGCATGGCTAAAGCACAGTAAAATACATTATTTTGACATGTTCCATTTTAAAACATTTAAATTAAACACTTCTCTATAAATAAAATGCAATATATATGGATTATATGCAAAATAAATAAAAAATATTTCCACTGGGATAATCAAAGGGAACAGAAAATATTATTTTGACAGCATCAAAACAGGGCAATACTGGAAAATTAAGTTTTTATTACACCATTAATTTTAGTTTGTTCATTAAACACTGTAACTGTTTACAATTACAATTAATTGTTACTAAAATGTATTCTGATGTTTTTTCTGATCCATGGTTAAAAAAAAAAATCTGTCTAACAGCGAATAACGGAGATAAAGCAAGCTGGTATGAAGCAGAATTATAAAATGATCTACTTGTTTTCATTTCAAGGTTAAATCCTTTCAACTATTGTAAATAGTCCTTACTTTTGCAAGAACAGTTTAAGTTGATGTTTGCAGGACAGACCCTACAAGCAAGATTAACTCAAAGTATATTCTTAAACTTGCTCTTGCATGTCTGTGTTAGGGTTACTAGCCAGCAATTAATATCCATTTAATCTGTTAGAGTTACTTACATGTCTTAGTGTCTCTGTAAATTCATAGCTATATATTTATAGCAAATACTAAAAATTATTTTAATATTCTAATTTACCCATATTCTCAATGTAATATGCTATTCTGACAAGGGGTTCCTTTGCTGGTACAACTGCATCTGTCTTGGGTTCTTCGCCAGCAAAACTGCAGAATCTATAATTTTTTAAATTATTTTAAATATTTTACGTTTTATTGGTGGGAGAGCAAAGGCTTTTGTTTGATTGGCCATTTTGCTGAGCATGGGAGAAGGCTGCTATTTTTATGAGAGCTGAAAAATGAAAACTAGGGGGAGAATTTTCAGAATCATTTCCATTAAGAATAACTTTCCTTTACTGGTCTCATTTTGGTAAAAAGAAATCGTGAACTTCGAATTATATATTTTTCATGCCAAACAGTTTTCACTGCTATTTTTGATTTACAGAAACCTTTGCTCAAAATGAAAATTCTCTATCCAAACTGTTGCTGGACCAAGATTTCCAGATGCAAAAAGAAAACAGTAAGTTCTTAAATAATTAGAATGAGAAATACAGCAAGTTCCATTTTCAGAAGGACATTAAAAATGTATATAGAAACTAAGTTTAGATTTGTGGACAGCAACGGAGAAATAATCTTTCCACATATTATACCCACATTAAATCTTTCCATTAAATTGTATAAAAAAGACATGATTTTCATAAAGATGACATTAGACTGTTTTCTTCAGCCCTAATAATTTTTAGCTCTATTACATGTTGTGAGATTTTCTATAAAACAAAGTAGGAGATAAGATGGAATGAGTCAAAGGATCATGGGGCTCTAAATAAATCCTGGTTCTCCAAATACAACTCAACGAGTAATTAACCTGAAAAGATTAACCTATTTTACTCTCATTTGCTGAACAACATAATTAGAAGCTCAGTGATAAAATGCTCAATTTTGCCATGAGTTCATAATACTAACACCAGTTAACAGACACTTCCCAGGACTTTTCCTGACGTTTTACTTTCCAGAAATATTATTACACATTCTGAAGCATTAAAACCTCTTTTCTCATACTTCACCCTCGCAGAAAACTATGCAGCTAGACACACAGAACAGAGCTTCACCCTGAGTAGTTTGTCATAGCTCTACTAAGGATGAAGGGAATGTCAATCACACCCTGTTTTTATTTCTAATGCAGAAACCTGCAATGAACCAGCAGTGAAGAACTGCTTGCTTAAAACTGCAAAAATCTTATGTCGTTTAGGCAATAACAGGCTTTCAGAGTCCAGAAAACCCTCTTCTGCTGTCTGAAATCAGTCCTAAGCTATATTAAGCTTGAACTAAACTTTCACTTCATTAACACTTGATACAGTGTTATCCTGTACCAAATCAAGGTGTTTAGAGTCAAGCCAAGAATGCAAAACCAAAGCAGCCCTGTCTTTACAGTGGCTATGGTGGCTTCTACCCCTCAAAATGCATGCACATACATATACAATTTGTGTATGCGTCTGTGTGCCTACATACAAGGTGTATATATACACACACACCACATACCCCCCCCAGGGAAAACCTTCTCACATCACCAAACACACAGCCACCATTCCTGAATTCAGTCTAGCCTTATGCCCACAGATTCACATCTTTACTCATGCATCCCTTACAACAGACCCCTTTACCTTCAAATTACTTTAAGATGTATCAAAATATAAAATAAAACATCAGATGACAACTATATCATGCTTCATCCCACTTGTGATCCCTTTGCCTATGAATGAAACTCTCTCCAGGGTGTTGCAAAGGACAGATGAGCACATACATGGTCCTGGTGACTAATCCCTACAGAATGCACACTGAATTCAGCTTCCATTTGAACTCTGCAAGGGCTACAGTTTTAGATCTAGAAAGAGCGGATGAGCATGGGGACCGGTTCATTTGAATGGAATGTATAAAACAAATGTTTTTCTGCAGCAGATGTACAGCCTATGTTTAGGAGTCAGTTCCTTAGACAAATCAGATATGCTCAGTACCGCCAATGCAAAGTGTTAAAAACTGTGAGTCAAACCTTAAAAAACCCAAAACCAACCCTATTTTACAAAAAATTAAGATTTTAGAAAGAAATAAATACTGGGCAGGAGGAGAGGGACAGTCATTTTTCTCCTAGTTTCCAAAGCATCTGTGATAATTTTGGATCATATTAACAGGCTTTCCTTCACATCAGTAGTTACTAGCTACATGCACCTTTTCACATAGAATCATAGAATGGTTTAGGTTGGAAGGGACCCTGAAGATCATGGAGTTCCAACCCCCCTGCCATGGGCAGGGACACCTCCCCCCAGACCAGGTTGCCCAAGGCCACATCCAGCCTGGCCTTGAACACCTCCAGGGATGGGGCCTCAACAACCTCTCTGGGCAACCTGTGCCAGTGCCTCACCACCCTCAAAGTGAAAAACTTTTAAATGGTTTAAAGCCATTCCCCCTCATCCTCTCACTACATGCCCTAGTAAAAAGTCCTTCCCCAGCTCTCCTTTAGGCCCCCTTTAGGTACTAGAAGGCGGCAATAAGATCTCCCCGGAGCCTTCTCTTCTCCATTTTTAGTGGAACCTGAATTTGCAGCTTAGGCAATCAATTACCTGAGCCTGGAAACTGAAACTCTGAAATACCAAAATACTTCTAATAAAATCACAATGGCCAACAATGCCTACTGTGAGACTGACACTTCTTACATTACACGTTTCCCTAAGCCCAGTATATAGCAGGTGAATGGTGCCATTAAGCGAAGAAGAAGCATTCACTGACACATCTGTTCATTGCACCATTACTTCACTTGTTCCTTCTATGAGCCTGTGACAACCCACACATATGTTCTGTAAGGAACTGGTTGATTTCCAGCTTTCACTGGGCTGGTATGACAGGGCTATATACTGCTAATTCAGAAGCTCTCTTAGTCCATTTCACAGCTTAGTCTGTTCCCGCACTGGCAAGGTATTTTCCTTTCAGCTGATCACCCAGGAAGCCGATCTGTTCTAATTCTGAATTTGTGTCTGTTGGAAATATTGCAAGTCTACAAGGAATATGAGAAGATCTGAACCTGAGATTTCTCACTTCCAAATGGTCAGTCTACACAGGACTCAGAGCCAGAACTGTCAGTAGTCACAATTATTAACCATGCTGAGGTGTGATTCACCATGCCTTCTAGACAACTTCCACCTTGCGTAAGTTTATCTCACCAGTCAGCAAGAAAGCTAGCACTAGCGTCTTCCTTTTCCTGTTCCACCAAAACACCCCCCTTCTCAAACCCACCTGGTGTTTGCTCTGGTGTTCCTCCAAGTGCTGGAGCGGACTGCTCATGTCTGGTCAAGCTCACAGCTTAAAAATAAAACAAAAGAAAACAAAAACAAGAGCAACTCTGTTTAAAAAGTCAGTACTGACATCTTCTCCTTCAGCATATATTCAGTGCTAGCATATTTATATTCACTTACTCATGCCCTGTTGTCAGGCAGTGAGTGTAACCATTTGAAACATCACCTCTGTGCCCTACAGGTTTTTTGCACCATGTTCTATAACTCTAGTTTTCTCAATCGTTCAGTTTTGATGGTACAGGAGTCACCACACAGGAGCCCCTATGCAGGATCAGAAATTGGTCAAGACGGATTACCTACGAGTCCCAAAATATGGTGGTGATTGTTTTGGAGAAAAGAAATTACCTTTTATCTTAACAGTTCACCAGCACCCACATTTGAACATTCTATCAGTTCCTATTATATGGGTAGGAGCAATGTGAGAGGTCCAATTTGAATATAAAGACTAATCTGTGTTTGTAAAATTCTCTACATGGGAATAACTAAGCTTTATTTCCACTTGGAAAGATATCTGTACAGCGCTCCATACAGCCCTATGGATTTCCAGCACCTCCTCTACAAGCTGGCAGGAAGGATGTGTTGCTTGGGCGTTATTTTCCTAACAAAGGAATTCTGAAGATATCCGAAAGCTCATTCGAAACATTAACGGTTGTTTTTAAGATGTCTAGCGTATGCTGCATACACTGATTAATAATTACAACCAATAAATAAATTGGTAACAGAGGAATTTTTCTCTAAACATTGTATCTATTTTAGATAAATCTACTGTATATTAGCCACAGATAAAAATTAAGATCTATCCACAAACTAGTCTTGGAGCATTTTGTTCTGGCATTTTAAACAAACACAGCATAGACATAATGTTTGTCTACGCTCTTTGTTAAACTCACTAACTTGTCATTATCTGAATAATGCCCAAATTAGTCAGAAACCGAAATTTGCTATCCCAATTGGATAAATAGTGACTATTCCAATGTGTACCCAGCAATAGGATACGACCCTAAGGGAGAAGATACAGACGTGTCACAAAAATATAAATAGATACTCAACGAATTTTGGTGGTTAAGGTTTCTGGAAGGGAGAGCGCTCTCTTTGACTCCACTGGTCCCTTCACACTGTCCCTCAGGGAACGCACACTCTTCTGACGATTACGTGCGAAACGAGCCCTCTTGATCTTCCACATTGCTGCATCACTGAGGTTGGCGACATTTGTCCGGACAGCAGTGATAGCTTTGCAAATGCAATTGACCAAGTTAGGATTCATTCCACAGCATGGTGAGGCCCTAACGCTGCCAAGTGCCAAATGCAACTGGGCCCCAGGTCCCACTCAAGTCAAGAAAGCTTCATATGGGCTCAAGGGGTCCATCTGCAAGGTACTCATTTGCATGCTCTCATTCTGAAATCCGTAAAACCCCAAACGGCATAACTGTGTTTAAAAAATTAGGCTGTTACTTCTTTTTTAGAGATTGGATAAAAACAGGTTCTTGAAACCAAAACCTGAATTGCAGACTAAGGGAATATGAGGTGCCATCTATTTAAAATGGCAAAAATCTCATGAGTATGGACTACGTTTAGTTCACTCATACCCAAATGTGGCCTCTAATTTTGCCTCACTGACCTCCTGTCCTGCCTATACCTATCATCCTGGATTTGAACAGCGCCTCCAAAAATCTGAGCATGATTATGTGTTTACAGTGGTGTCACCAGCAGTATCACTGCATGTCTTAATAGGGTCACCAATACTTCCCTATAATCATGTCTATAGTGCATTCAAACACTTTGAGTTCATTTATCTGAGCGACTAAAGCCGGTGAGCCCATCCTTTGCACCACTCGTGTCTTTGAAAAGGCAAAGAGAGAGGTTAAAAAGAAACTTCAAAAATATCTTTTGCATATTTTACACTTTAAATCACTCCCAAATATTCATATTTAAAGATATGACCCTACATTTGCAGCCAGAGGTGCTAGACACTAGTGCCGAGATTCCCTCCTCAGGCCACAGCAGGAGTTCCAAGCTTTGGGTCAAGCTACTCACATATGGAGAAGAAAACATGTTTGCAGTTCCACCCATCTCCTGTACTGATGCAGCAGCAGCACCTGGACTTTTTTAGGCACTGGTCTCCATGCAAGTGTAGAAGGAGGCATTAGGCTGCTGGGGGAGCACACATTGTCCAAACAGCTGTCCCCAAGCAAATCAGATGGAAATAGATCTGCCTCATGGGCCACCGCTTGGCTAAGGGAGTTTTCAATTACTCAGGATGTTAAACAATCATTCACAAATTAATTTTTAGCCCCCCCTAGTGAATGGAAGGAGACATGGTATCTCATCAAGATACCAAGTATGAACAGGACAAACACTTACAAACATTTCTCACTGCAGGAAGAGTTAAATGAGTCCCAGCTCTATGAGTCCATGTGCTGTGCCCCATGCATTTGGGTTTTTTCTTCCAGGGTCATAAAGTTCCTAGGGCTGTCTTTGTACAGACCACTATAGAACAGGGTCAGGTATGACCGAGACCTTTGAGAATAGCAATGCAGATAGCATAAGAACTTGTACAAAAGAACAAGTGGGTTAATGCAAGTTGCAGCTGATCCCAGACTGTGTTTCAAACAAGGCTGGCAACCACATCCTAGTGCAAGTAAACACGGTGCCCAAAGGTGCAACAGAATATAGCCTAAGATTTCTTAATTTCAGACAATTGATACAGGTGAGACCTTCATCCCTCTCAGACCCTTGCAGGCAGCTGAAATTCCGGAAGCTGATAAAAGGTGATCACATTGATTTGGACTCTGCTTACTTGTTGGGAAAGGGAATTCTTTGTTGCAGTCCAGGTGAAGCTGTGCTTCCAGAGACAAGGTCTCAAAGCGATTCACAAAGAACTCCCAGCTCAAAGCTGGAATATCTGCTTTTAGAAAATGCAGTAGCAAAAGCTTACTAAGAATGGTGGGCCTGTCCTTGACAACTGTGTCAAACTGGAAATCAAGGCAGAGGCAGAGACCCTATAGAGAAAAAAAAAAAACAAAAAACAAAAAACAAAAACGAGAAAAAACACAGAATTGAGATGTGAAAACTAAGCATTTTTTAAAGCAAAGGGAGGTCAAAGTTCACTTCTCCTCTTAATTAGTTAAGGATAAAGATTTAGCTCCTTTTTCCTACCAAGTCCTTTAAATCAGGACTAATGCTACTGAAAACAATGGAAAAGTAAGGTAAGGAAGGAGATACATGAACATCATATTTAGAATGTAGGATTTGCTAAGATTTTGAGGAACACAAAGGTATAGGTAAAGTTCTGTCCTACTGCACATTTGGTATACAATATCACAGTATTCTCTTCATACACCCCTGCTTGAGAGAAAGCTTATATTTAGGCAACTGAATCAAGCCCTTAATTACAAAAAGAATGAATCACCAAGCCCAAACAGAGGAAAAAAAGATTATGTGGGGAAACGTATCAATCAGAAGCACTTTGCCTCAAAATGCTTCTGTATTTTATTTCCACTAGAATTTTGTGTGCAGCATCAAGACTTACGTTTGAAAAGAAAACCCACACATTAAATATGAAAGCACAGGATACAGGTAACAGTCTCAATGAACTCAGTGAATTCAAGTTCTCTGGACACTATTTTGAAAAGGTACTATATGGAATAAAACTAGCAAGTATTAACAGCTTTTTATAGGCAGTAACACTGAACTTTTTAAAACACATATTCCTTCTATTCTTCAGAGAACTAGAACTGGATTGTGTACTATGAGATTCTTTTAAATTTTTTTTTTTTATCTTGTTTGTATAAGTAGGCTCTGATCCACTTTCATATCTGCTTAGTTTTATTAATGAGAATCCCGATTGGCAGGGTCTCTCACATGCTTAAAATTACATGCCTAGGTAAATCTTTAAATGATCAAGCCCGTGTTTGGTTTTGCTCGAATGTATTTTCTACTGTCAGCTCAGCAGGGTGTCATAAGACTTATAAATTTATTGGTTTTAAATTGAAAAATGTCCACGAATTTTAAAATAATGAAAAACATCTACAGCTTTCTACAACAGCAGTTCAAATGCCACAGTAATCCTCTGCAGTCATCAAAGCTGGGGCTAAAGCAGTACCATTTCCCTTTGCTATTGTGTGCGTATGTCAATTACCGAGACCTGTAAGGCTTCCCTAAAGAGGTATTAGCAGTGACCGTGATGCTGTACACCTGAACC